GGACACCATCAACAGAACAAAAAGGTATCCTACAGTATGGGAGAACATATTCGTAAATGACAGATCCGATAAAAGGTTGACATCCAAAATATATAAAGAGCTCACACACCTCAACAAACAAAAAAGCAAATAACCCAATTAAAAAATGGGCAGAGGAGCTGAATAGACAGTTCTCTAAAGAAGAAATTCAGATGGCCAACAGACACATGAAAAGATGCTCCACATCGCTTGTCATCAGAGAAATGCAAATTAAAACCACCATGAAATATCATCTCACAGCAGTAAGGATGGCTACCATCCAAAAGACAAACAACAAATGTTGGCGAGGTTGTGGAGAAAGGGGAACCCTCCTACACTGCTGGTGGGAATGTAAATTAGTTCAACCATTGTGGAAAGCAGTATGGAGTTTCCTCAAAATGGTCAAAACAGAAATACCATTTGACCCAGTAATTCCACTTCTAGGAATTTACCCCAAGAATGCAGCACTCCAGTTTGAAAAAGACAGATGCACCCCTATGTTTATTGCTGCACTATTTACAATAGCCAAGATATGGAAGCAACCTAAATGTCCATCAGTAGATGAATGGATAAAGAAGATGTGGTACATATACACAATGGAATATTACGCAGCCATAAGAACAAATCCTACCATTCGCAACAACATGGATGGACCTAGAGGGTATTATGCTCAGTGAAATAAGCCAGGCAGAGAAAAGACAAGTACCAAATGATTTCATTCATATGTGGAGTATAACAAAAGAAAACTGAAGGAACAAAACAGCAGCAGAAGCAAAGAACCCAAGAATGGACTAACAGTTACCAAAGGAAAAGGGACTGGGGGGGACGGGTGGGGAGGGAAGGATAAGGGTGTGAAAAAAAGAAAGGGGGCATTATGATTAGCATGTATAGTGTGTGTGGGGGCACGGGGAGGGCTGTGCAACACAGAGAAGACAAGTAGTGATTTTACAGCACCTTATTATGTTGATGGACAGTTACTGTGAATGGGGACGTGGGGGGCACTTGGGGAAAGGGGGAGCCTAGTAAACATAATGTCCTTCATGTAATTGTAGATTAATGATACCAAAAAAAAAAAAAAAAAAAAAAAGAACAGTGGCTGAGTTTTACTAAATTACCTGGTATCTACTGATAAATAATATGCCTTTTCTCCTATAAACTGATATAAGTCCTATCAATATTCCAAATACTGAATCACCCTTGCGTTTTTGGAAGAACACTATTTGATGCAAGTAAAAGCCCTAAAGCAGTTCAAAAGGCTCTTTATATCTTTAGCATTAATATTGGAGCTATCTGGGACACCATTCTCAATTTTGGCTTCATCATGGTGCTGAGTTGAGGAATACACTTGAATCAAACTGTTTTAGTCTAAGAAGGCTTAAGTATGAGAATATATCCAGATGTGTAATGCACTGTCATCCTGTAGTCATGATGTATGACACATGACTGATTCTCTCTTCCTTCAGACAAGAAAACTGTATACCATTTACCATGACCATTATGTAAATTCATACCACTATGTTTATTAGACAATCTAATGGTCCTATATTTGGCTAGGCTATATTTTCTTTCTTAATTGCACTTCCAGACAATTGTTAATATTTTACTTAGAATGTGTACTTCTATATTCTTAATTGAAATTAACAACTACTTTTCTTTTTAACATTATCCTTTTAAAATGTGTGTATAAAACTTACGTTAACTTCATGAAATGAACTGGATAGCTGCCAGTCTTTTTTAAGTCTGCAGAGTATGACTATTAGAATACATTAAAAAGTCTTTAAATGTTGGAACTCAGCTTTAAAGTCATTTGGAATTCACATCTTTTTAACGAGTATACATTTACTTAACTTTCTAAGTTGTGCTATTTATTGGGCCTTTAGAAATCTTTCTTTTCTTGGGCAAACTTTGGCTATTCTTTGTCTAGTTCTCCAGATTTTCAAATTAGCTATGGAGTTAAACATTTTCTTATGTTTCTTTCATATGTGATTTTTTTATGGCTCTATATTCAATACATCATGACTAAGTATAATGTACCCACAAATAGAGAGTGGGTTAACATTAGAAAATGTTTTAATATAATCCACCAGATTAATGATCAATAAATAAAACATTTTCTCAATAAAGGTTTATATTTAATATTTATACACAATAAACCATCTTAACAGATGAAGAATACATAGAAACTATCTTCAGTTGATAATTGGGTTATACCAAAAGTATCAGAAACTAGAGCAGGTATAGTTAATGATAAAAACTAGAAGCATTCCATTTGAAGTTAATTAAAATTAGTTAACTACTATATATTACCAGTGCACATCCAATACATTTCCAATTTATGCTTTATGTCATTGCTTCTTCCTGGAAGCCCCACACTCATGCCCAATAAGATGATAAAGACTACGTATTTTTTGTCAAAAAAATGTGTGTATGCACATAAATAAAATTTTATATAAACTATCACAGGGTTCACTACCTCCATTCTACAAAGTAGATTACAAATTAAAAATTCCTATCCTACAAAGAAACCAATATACATAATGCCCAAAATTATTAATGGAAGAAGGAATATGGGAGCTATCTGGGAAACCATTCTCAATTTTGGCTTCATTATGGTGCTGTGTTGAGGAATAAGTAAATAAATATTGTAAATAAATACACAATATTGTAAACAAATACACAACAGAGCAGACGTTCTGGAAGGTATTCATACTAGCCTATGAAAATTTGTCTAAAGAAATTGCTTAAAACATGAAACATTATACTCAGGTTTTAAGTATTTACAAAGTATTTAAAACTGCTTTTAAAATATATCAATAAGAGGTCATTTACTATTCAAAAGTAGCATATATGTGGCACAGAAAAAATCTGCACTGTCAGTTAAAATGTTAAAATGGATAACTGAAAATTGTTAAACATTTGCAGTACTCCCTAAACAGGTAGGAAATAAAATACATTTAACTTATAAGAACTTGACTATTTTGTATTACTATGAAGAAAAAATTATTGTGAAAGGAAGTATCAAGGTTTGAAAAATATTTCACAACAGCAGACAAATGTATTTTAAATTTACATTTAATTTTGAGACCACAATAAAAAGTTGACCATACACATATCAATGTATTTTACAGATTAGTAAAACTATACCAACTTTAGAATTATTTCATAAAGAGTATAAACAATCTTTACAACAATTTCCCTATTGTCTTATTCTTCTAAATGAAATTCATACACTAACAAACTAAACCAAAATTTGCTAGTGGCTAAAATACCATAAATAAACTGTCTTTGAAATAGCTACAAGTATTTACCAATATCATGTTCATGCAAAATATACATTTATTTTTTAATGTTTTTGTCCTTATCTCAATTTGCAAAAGTATTTTGTGACATTTTCTTTTAACTGTTATTCTTGATAATAAGGGCAATCTTTTTACATCCACACGCTAGGTCTTTAAAACATTTGAGAATAAAATAAACTGTAAAAGGAGTAGTTAAACAACTACTTCAAACAGCACATGTGAAACAAGACCCCATTACTTAATCAGAAATCAGTGCAAGTTTTTGTCTGGTAAGTACTATGATATCACTTAATTTCTGTACAAATTGAGACACACAAATAAGTGTTTCCAAAAATTCATTCATGGACAATATACAAAGATTTTCACAGCAGTTGTTTGGCATCCACTAATAAAACTTATTTACTGTATCATGTTGCAAAGTTGCTGGAATCATGGAAACTTAAATTATTGGCCTACAAATGAAGGGTTCAAGCAAAGAAAAAAATTTCATCAAAATCAATATTTTTTTACATGAATAACTTGAAAAACATAAGATGTTAACCTTACCCTTTCCAGAAGAAAATCAAATGGCATAGTTTAGTGTTACCTATCTTCTTTCCAGCCTTGACCAAGTGCTAGTGACAAGTACCATTTAAGTCAGCTTCTTATTTTAGTATGAGGTGCTTATAAATTTCTATAAATTAAGATTTTGTTAGAGCTTCATATCAGATGAGTTGTAGATCTACTTAACGTATGACTTCTCCTTTCAAAGAAGGAAGGAAGGCTGATGAGGGACGGAGATGGGATACCCTGTTAAAATAAGACAAGTATTTCATATTTAAAATTTTTATTTTAAAAAATTATACCGTTTAGCTTCATGATATCATTATTATAATTTATAAATGACCACAATTAGTCAAAAGATATCTGAAAATTTTAAACTCTATAAATAAATCAAAGAATTTAAAATTGGGGAGGGGGAGTGGAGAGAAACCATAAGTAAAACTATTTTAATATTCTAGAAACAAAAAACAAATGGTAGATTAGTTAACTATATATTAATTCAATTGGAATAGATATCGGCTGATGGCCAGTAGTGGTACTTAACCTCTTTGTGAAATATTAATGATCCAGTGTTTCTGGGTTACTAAAAAGGTTATAAATAAGCAAACAAGTTTTTGAGGTTAAAAAAAAAAAAAACACTAGTGATTTCTTCTCAATTTAATCATAAAGCAGAATTAAGAGAAATGAAATTACTTCATGGGAAATGATTCTCTAAAATTAAGTCAGACACTCCTAAGGAGTTTTTGTATTATGTGTGCAATCCATATATATGTGTATGTAAAATCTTGCCCCATATAAAAACTGAGCGAAACAGCAGTGTTTCTGGTAATAGAGATTAGTAAGTTACTAAACTGTATGAACTTAGTGCCTCAGATGTCAAAGTTATATATTATCAGATTTAACAGTAACAAAAAAATACGCACAAGAATAACAAAAATCCAATAGTGGGTAAAAAATCAAAATGAATTAATTACAAAGAAAGCTACTGTTTTATTTTAACATATATGAATAGCTAACTGTAACTAAATTTGGACACAACAGGTTAGCTAGCTGTAAGTTCTCTTCAACAAGGTAAATGAAGTGTTTAAAGAGCGAGGTTGGTAAAGTATTACCACTCATACAACGAGATGATTTAAGTAGTTAAAAGTTTATATTTTTGTCAGGTGGATCTTTTATGATCTGTCATATTACTAAAATCATAAATTTTATATAAATGCCAGAGGTCTAAGATTAAGAATCAGATTTAGAATATAAATCCACTTTACATGACAATTACTATTCTTTAAAAATATCATTTTCATAAATAAAATTTCTAACAGGACTGATTCTTCTGGACTTGAGTAGATTACCTTACAACCATATTTTTGTGTGCCAATATGCAAAGAAAGTCTATTAAGCCTAAGTGTTGTGAATTCAAACCAGTTATAAAGTTGCAAATTCAAAAGAACCCACCCACCTAATAAGTGATTCAGTGGAGAAAGAATACTTTTTTTTCACAAACACAAATTTCAAATAGCTAATAAGCTCACATTAAGCTTCACGAAGCTTGTTTCCATTACTGGTTGGCATTATCTCCTAATTCTTCAGAAATGTCAAAGATGACTTGCATAGAACTCTTTTTGAAATTTGAAAAATCAGTATTTCCTTCTAGTATCTCTGAAAAACTAGCTCGTGAGGCAGAATGGCGTATAGATTGAAACCAGGAGTTTTGAGAGCGCCCACCCATAGAGTTTGAGCGCTGAACATAAACATGCTTAGTAAATCCCATTATATTGCTTGTGGAAACAGAATGAGCAATCTGTTAGAACAGAAATAAGCAATTGAGATGAGGACATGAATGTCATATATTTTAGGTACTTATTTATACTGTCTACATAAGTGACAAAACCATAAATAATATAAATTTTCTAAAAATTTTCTAAAAAATCCAATTACCTCCATTTGAAAAGGAATGATGTTTATAATAGTTATTATAGATGTAGGCAATAAACAAGGGATAGTACTTTAGACTTCAAAAAGTTTATAATCTGACTTTAATAAATGAATGCTAACTATATAAGTCAATTTTGATTCATCTTTCATTGATCAAATTTCTTTGTATATATTTATATTATCAACTAAGTATAACTTCTTTTTCATAGGAAGGTTAACCATAATAAAAATCTCTATGAAAATATTCATACGTTGAAGCTGTAATTCTTAGATGTATTAACTACTTAGTTTTTTTTTAAATACCAGTTTGTTCATATTATGTGCCTTGTCTGTAAAAATTCTGTATAATAAAAGGTAACCACTTATTAAATACTAGAGTTTCACTATGCGTCAGGTACTCTTCAAAGTTCTTTGCATATATTATTAACTTATTTAATCCTTAAAACTACTACTTTAGATTCACTTTACTGATAGTGAAATTGAAACAGATCCTTAATAACTTGCCAAATCATACAGCTAATAAATAGCACAGCCAGGATTTGAACATGTGAGTTCCACAGTTCATGCTTAACCACTTAACAATTAACCACTATTCAAACTCCCTCTCAGTATATAATCACATCATAAATGTGTGTGTGCATGTGTACTTAATCCTTACAATAACACTACAGGGTAAGTACTATTAAACTTTAAACTTTTTTATCTGAAAAAATAAGGATAAAAGAATATGAAACTTGCAGAAGGACATACAACTAAGTAGTGGCAGTCCCTTGCTTTTCTTAACTTTATTAGTAGGTTGGGTTAATGATAATATTACAAAGAACAGACTCATACACTTAGTGACAGTAATAAATGTTAGAAAATTCCATAAGATTAATTAAATGTCTAATAATTCTGACATTATTAGCAATTTGGACTGTTTCATTAACATTTTAAAATGTACAAGTGGACTTAGAACCCATAGAATCCTTTGAAGTTCATAGCTTCAGAGATTATATTCTACTCATCACAGAAATAGTAAAGGGAATAAAACTCAGTCCCTGCTATATTACAGGAGCCAATCAGTATAAACAGAACCATCATTATTTACATTAGTTAAAGTGACAGGCCAGATTGAAATGTTTCTTTTCCTAGCGATTTTCAAACATACCTCAATCCCAATCAAATTTTATATCAAATAAACTACATGTTAAGTATGTCTCTCGTTCATTAAGTTTTCTCAGTGACCTTTACCCAATTAAAGAGGTTAGAAATTTAGAGATATATAAAAGAAAAATATACTAAGATTTCCATCTTTAAAAAGTTAACAACTTCCTTATCAACTCCATAAAAGTCATTTGGTCCATTAAAGTCACTTACTGCTAACGATGATGCACTAGAGAGACGACTCATTCTGTGCTTGTCATTGCTGGGAGGACTTCTTCCTTCCACTGAGCTCTGGGCTGTCAGAAGAGCCCTTCGAAGAGCTCTTTTTGGAGTTTTGGAGAAAGAGAATGCTCGTGTGACCTAGAGTTAAAAAGAGTCACGACTGAAGAAGCATAGATAAATCTAATATAACTGATAAGAACTGCACATAAACAAAGCCAAGGACACATAAGAAGTTTTTCTACAAAATAGTGTATGGCAGAATTAGAAAAATCTCTTGATGAGGCAGAGAAAAGTGTAGTACATTGTAGACTATTCCATCTTACACTCATAGAGCAATACAACACAGTCCAATGAGAGAAAGAAAATGGGAGGAAAAACCTAGCCAGGGAGAGAAGAAACTTGGATTTTTATCTGATTCTGCTAAAATTTAGCTGTGGAATCTTTAATTCAAAACCACTTGAACTTCAATTTCTTTACTGAAAAAGTGAAAGAGTTCATTTGAATCATCATTTAAACATTTTTATCTATCCTGAACCATACATGTTATATATTGGGAGGCACAAAGATGATTAAAGAAAGTACAAGGCTTCCCCTCAAAGGCAAAGCAAGCAACAACAAAAAAACTTGTAGACCCAGCAGTGGACTACAGCTGCAGGACTCTCCTGGAACACTGAAATACTAGTTCTTTTAAAAAGCCCTACTACAAACATTCTTGACATAGTTCTCAACAAATCTGATAAGGTAAGTGATCTTCATCATTAAAATACTGAAACATACTTATGGTCAGGAATAGATCCCAGGTCTCCTAAACCTGTCATGTACCCTTTGATGAAAAATATCTAAGGTGATATTTAAGATGAATGTACACATATCTATAATCTTTATCTAAAACACCATCAGTACATTTCTACTTAAGTACAATTCACAGAAGTCTCACTATAACAAGAATAGGAGGGATAATAGGTTGTTATAATTTCTGTACTAAACAATTCACTAATGAAAGCTATTATTTCTGTGGGCCATTTCCTTAAACCAAAAAACATATAGACCATCTTTACACTGGTGTTTATGCAACATCATTTTAATATACTCTGAAAAATACATTTTGGAGATATATTACATAATAATTCCACTAAAACTCACCTTTTTTGAAGTCTTTTTAATTGCTCTCGATGCTCTACTCAGTGTACTGTCCATATCTTTTGTATTTACTTCAAAAGATTCTGGATTAGCAGTATAAATAAGATTCTCCTGTTGAAAGGAACACCTTTTAAAATTACTTCAAAATAAATAAATAAATATACAATTGTTTCTAAAATCAAATCTCTAAGCACTTATATACATTTGGGAGAGTGTGTGTGTGTTTGTGTGTGTGTGTGTGTGTATACATTCATATATATATTAATGAAGTTACTCAGGATGAGCTTATTAACATAATTTCTACTATGAAATATACTAATTTAAGGATACTGGAAAATAAGGATCTGGTAAATGAAAAATTCTATGCAAGGGCCATGGACACCAAAGCAATTGGAAAAGAACTCAATTTAAAATCTTATTAGCAATTCTAAAAGCCATGTTAGAAATTTAGCAGACATAATACTTAAATATAAAGTCCAGTATCACAAGCACTTTCCTTACTTTCTCCTACTTTCCCCCACTTTCTTCTTCTTTTAAGATTTAGGCAGATTCTAAATCGGGAATTCTGAATCTGTGACCAAGAGTTCCTAGAAGTGGCAATGGGTAGAAATATGGAGGTATGCAAACTCCCTGAAATTATACGCAAAATTCTGTATGTACATAAATAGAAAGTAAATTCTTCTGAGGAGAGGAATCATAGCTTTTCTTACATTCTGAAAGGAATTGGAGATTTCATATAGGCCAAGAACCACTGACCAAAATTAACCTTAAATGAAAAAAACTAATCTCCATGTACATGCAAAATATTACTTACTTAAATTTTGTTTGGACTTTCAGAAGAAACCAAGTTAGACAAAATGTTTTTGCATATTCCTATAACCAAATTCTCACTTTAAATGTATAAATCTAGGCCATGAATCGGCACATTGCTTCACTAGCACTATAAGATTCTCCTCCAGCAATATCATTCTGTGGCTAGAGAAACTTTTATACAAACTTATAAATGTTGGTTTCTCTGAAAATGTCCTCATCTGCAAAATGTAGAAAATATCTGGTATACCTAACCCATAGTAATCATAAAGCTAAAACAAGATGATACATAGCAGTCTTTAGAAATGAAATATTAAGTTATGAACACATGGTATTAAATATTATATTCTATGATTATAAATGCTTGCTTTGACTCTTCACCACTGACATCCATATAGACAGCTAAAGTTATCTTAGAAGCTAAATCTTCTTGGAACAACCTAATCTACCATGCAAGTTCTAGATCCTGTCTTTCCACTTGATCCATTTGCTAGATGACCCATAGTTGCTTATTGAATCACAATCAGATAACAGTACTGTGGTCATCAGAATCTTTTAAAAATAATGTTACAATTTTTTTCTGAGTTAAAAAAATCATACCTGTTATAAAAAATGAGAAAGAAAATTTTTAATAAAAAAAAAAATCACCCACAACTCTACTAAGCACTTACTACTGACATTTTGGTATATTTCTTATAGATATTTTTCTATATGAATAAAATTTTTAAACAAAATTGGAGTCATACTGTTCAGCTTTGTTATCTTTGGTTTTTCAATTAGCTGTATATACTATGGATATTTTTTTTCACATCATTAAAAATTCAAAGGAATTACTTTTAATGTACAGCTAATGAAGTCTCTTCTGATTATACTAGAATTTTATCATTCTTCTGTTTTTAAACATGAAGTGCTTCTACTTTCTTCTTAAGAAACAAACTATTAAAATAGCATCAAAAAGAATAAAATAATGCTTAGCAATAAATTTGACCAAGGAGATGAAAGACTTATACACTGTAAACTATAAAATGTTGCTGAGAAGGAAATTAAGGAAGACACAGATAAATGAAAAAAACATCCTGTGCTCATGAACTGGAAGATTTACTATTGTTAAGATGTCAACACTACCCAAAACAATCTACAGATTCAATGAAATCCCTACCAAAATCCATGCTTTTTATTTGGCAGGAAAAGTTCATTCTAAAATGCATATAGAAATCCAGTGGCTCCCAAATACCCAAAACAATCTTGAAAAAGAAAAACAAAGTTGGAAGCCTCAAACTTTCTGATTTCAAAACTTGATGCAAAGCTAATATAATCAAAACAACAGTATTGGCATAAAGGAACAGAACAGAATGGAATGGAATAGAACAGAATAAAGACAGGAATGGAATGAAATGGAATAGAATAAAGACAGGAATGGAATAGAAAAAAGAATAGAAAATTCAACAGGAAAAGGACAGTCTTTTCAACAAATGGTACTGAGAAAACTAGATACCCACAAGCAAAAGAATGAAGTTGGACCTTTACCTTATTATACCATACCCAAAAATTCACTCAAATGGATCAAAGATAAAACTAAAAGAACTAAAACTTTTCATAGTCTTAGAAACACAGCAAAAGCTCCAAGAATTGGATTTAGTAGAGCTATCTTGGATATGACACCAAAGACAGAGGCAAGAAAAGAAAAACAGACAAACTGGACTTCAGAAAGTTAAAAATGATGTGCAAAAGACACTACCAACAAAGTAAGAAGGCAACCTACAGAAAAGGAGAAACTGTTTGCAAATCATAAATTTGATAAGGAATTAATATCCAGAATATATAGAGAATTCCTAAAACTTAGTATCAAAAAACAACCAACTAGATTCAATCTAACTATTAACTTATATGGATATAAGATTGGGATATATATCTCATTTTCTCTAAATAGTTAACTAACTATTTAAGCACTATATGTTAAAAATCTTATTAAATTGTTAAGGTTCTACATTTATCATACAGGGAAGTTTTCTTTCAAGTTCATCTAGCCTTTCCATTGATTAATCTGTAAATTTTTGAATCAGTGTGATACTGTTCTGATCATTGTAAATTTTAAAACACAATTTAATATCTCATAAAGGAAGTACTGTTTTCTAAATTTTCTTATTGCTGCTCTTTCTTTAAAAATCATCTTTGGAATTATTTTGTCAAAACCAGAAGTTTCCTATAGGATTTTTAAGGACTGCAATCAATAGACATTTTTATGCTAGTTAGCATTCTCCTTCAGGAACATCAGTCTCTGTAGTGCAGTTTTCTTAAAATAGTCTTCATTTGTTACTTATAAACTATTTCTAGATTTATACTAAAATCTCCTAAGTTCATACCAAATTTTATTGGAAAGAAGGGCTTCATTTCCTATACTTTCTAGCTGGTTACTGCTAGCATAGAGGAAAACTTGGTATGTATATATTTATATTTTATTTGACTACTTAACTAAACTCTAAGTTCTAATAATTTTCTATTGGTTCTCAATTTTCTAGACAATCATACTTGCAAAGTAACTCTGAATAGTTAACATTTCTTGCTAATCCATGAGAAACAAAGTAGTCAGGACTGATTCAAGCTCTGCTTATCCTGTCTTCTGCATCCCTATTCAAATAAACCTGCAAGTTTCCACATCATTAAGATTTCCTACTTCTCATAGTAGAGGCATCACATTTCCTATATTGTTGTACATATGGCACCATAAACCAAGCACAGGTGTAACTTTAATTTTATGAACTTGATTTTTGTTTTCATTTCATTTAATTTTCAATTTAACTTCATTTGATTTCAATTTGGATTTCATTCAATCAACAAATACACACTGAAAACCTACTATTTGATATGTTTTTTATGTTCCTAGATAGAGGCAAATTCAGAAAAAAAGATGTTTTGATACAAATATGTTTTCCTTCATTACATAAAGATGAAGTGTTTCCTTTAGCTCTCTACATAGAAGAACATAAATAGGGCAAATCACACACAAAATTGCAAAGTAGGGTAAACTTATTTTCAGTATTCCTACACTGTTTTCTATTGCCTTTTTAATTAATTCCCATTCCCTCTGAAATAAAAAACCTTTCTTTCTAATCTACTCCTCTAAATTCCTAAAATAAAATAAAAATGAAATTTATACCACAGAGAAAACTCATTTTTAACAATATACTAATATAATTCTGAAAACATTTTATGACTTACTCAAAGAATTTGAAGCATTAAAGACGCCTGGGAGGGGAAGAATTTCTTCAATCAGCCTCAAATTCATGTGTACCCAAAACTAGTTTTAAAGACAATCTGCTAAGTTTAAGATTAGAAATTAGTAATCAATTTCTAACACTGAGATATGTGATATTAATTTCAGGAGAAACTGAGCTTCAGGTGCAGATTTTAGAGGCCTAGTTCATGAATGTTAATTCACAATTTTCTAGCATTTCTGACATCGTCAGTCAGTAAGTCCACCTACATAGTGAGTTATCAGGCACTGCTTTCCCTAAGCTCTCCTCTCCCACTAGTCCTCACATTCACAGATACAAAAGAAAAAAATACCTAGTGTCATTGTGTCCCCTCCCCGATGCTGTGCATCAATCATTTCCTTAAACTCTGTAATCACGTTAATTTATAACTTAGATCTTCTGATAGTAAAGTAGTGCAAATAAGACATTTATACTGATTATGACTATAACCAGAAGAGCAATTATACTTTTTTTTTTTAAGAGGTAGGGAGCTACCTTTCCAGGTGAGGTAGATCACTGCAGACTTTGTGCCGTCTGCAGTGCTAGGCCATGCCATTTTTTTGTGATGGTATCATTACTACACAATCACATGAGCAACATTGTGGTTACTAAATTCCCCCCATTATCAAGTCCCCCCACATACCCCATTATACTCACTGTCCATCAGTATAGTGAGATGCTATAAAATCACTACTTGTCTTCTCTGTGCTATACTGCCTTCCCTGTGTCCCCCTTCTTCATTATGTGTGCTAATCCTAATGCCCCTTAATCACCTTATCCCTCCCTTCCCACCCACCCTCTCCAGTCCCTTTCCCTACATTCTTAGGTTCTGTGAGTCTGCTGCTCTTTCTTTTCTTCAGTCTTTTCTTTGTTCTTATACTCCACATATGAGTGAAATCATTTGGTACTTGTCTTTCTCCACCTGGCTTATTTCACTGAGCATAATATCCTCCAGCTCCATTTGTGTTGTTGCAAATGGTAGGATTTGTTTCCTTCTTATGGCTGAATAGTACTCCACTGTGTATATGTGCCATATCTTCTTTATTCATTCATCTACTGATGGACACTTAGGTTGCTTCCATTTCTGCTATTGTTAATAGTGCTGCGATAAATATAGGGGTGCAGATATCTTTTTGAATTTGAAAACTTCTTTTCTTTGGGTAAATTCCTAGGAGTGGAATTCCTGGGTCAAATGGTATTTTGATTTTTAGTTTTTTGAGGAACCTCCATACTGCTTGTGACAATGGTTGAACTAATTTACATTCTTACCAGCACTGTAGGAGGGTTCCCCTTTCTCCGCATCCTCATCAGCATTCGCTGTTCCTAGTTTTTTCGATGTTGGCCATCCTAACTAGTGTAAGGTGATATCTCATTGTGGTTTTAATTGAGCAACTATACTTTTAAATATAAAGCATATTAACTCTATTATAAACATCATTGGCTCAGAAGTACAACCTCTTTTCACATTATGTTCTATCTTCAGTCTACTTCTCATATAGTTAAAAATTCTAGTAACAAGTTTAAAAACTAAGAATGAATATTGCTATTCAAAGTAGTCAGTGGTAATCTGACCAAGATGTAGGAAGAGCTCTATTTTTTTTTAATATAAAAGAATTAGTGGTAAAAGAACTGAATTGTTGCATAGGGCACTTAATTTTTTAGTTCTAACCTATTCAAATTCAAGGGAGGAGAGTGGCAAACCTTGCTTAAATTGATTTGTTAAATTATACTTGTGATTTAGAGGTAGGAAATCTGCAATGGCTTCAACATCATATATTGACATCAAGCAATATATGAACCTTAAGAGTATGTACCATACAGTTCAAGGGTACAGGTTGGTAATCTTTAAATTCTCAAGTATCAGAACACAGGGTATCATATCCATGGGGAGAAAAACTATCAGTAGGGTTTAACAAAGGATAAGGAAAACTGGATTCTAACCTTAGCTTTAGGCTTTTAGTCTTGGTTTTGCATGTAAAACAATGAGATTAGATTAAATTAACCTGAAAATTTTTATTCTCAAATCATTTACAAATCAGCAAGATGAATGAAATAGTTCAGAATAAACTAGTTGTACCTATTTTATTAATTATGTAAGTTCCAACTATTTAAAGCACCAAATAATGTACAACAGGTGAAAAACTGATTCAAAGAATCAGATTTTTATATCTTTTACATCTTGTATATCTATATAATACATTCTCTTCAACATGGCAAATGTTCTCAAATGGTAAGACATTCATTAACTTAGGGCTTTTAAAAAATTTACTATGTGTAGTATTTTAAATGTGAGAAAGAGCTCAACTGAAGTCACTATCTCAATTACAAACATATTTCTTAATTTCAGAACTTGAAAGAACTTTGTGGTTTAAGATAGTGCATAAATATTTGCTGCCATCTTGTGGCTAATATTACCTTATGAAATTTTTTCATTAGCTATTTATATTTTGGTTTTAGGACTATTAGCCATCTTGTGGCTAGTAATTCAATAGATTTTATTTTAAGGAAATTTTCCATTACCTTTCTACACTGGACACATCTGGAAAGGACTGCATAAGCCATCTAGTCTGACACCATGATAAATGCATGAGTAATTTCTACAACAGGCAGTCACTTTACTGCACGGATCTATTTTATATATAGATATCCAGAACTATAAAAAAAATTCTTCCTTATAATGAGCATTTTTGTAAATTTTATAACAAAAGCTGTCTCCATCACTTTTCTGTTTTATGCACTAGAATTGTATTGTCCTCTATGAACCTTTTTGTGGAACAATCCTTTAAATATAAGGACATATTCTTGGCCCACAGAAATTTTTAAAAAGTAGCAGATCAGAAAGCCTGTTGTTTAAACACTTATGTAGGTGCTTTAATCAAGTATAATCTACTACACCTCAATATTTTCAAAGTCAGACTTAACTATGATAAACATTTTATTTTTATTATAGAAATGTCCAAGGCAACCTCAGTTATAGCACTTCTGTAACTGAAAAGGGTCATTGATCAATACATTCTCCTCTATGTCATCTGTGCAAAAATAGATCTATACCTATCTATCACATATGTGTTTCCCACACATGATGAAGTAATCAAATTATCTTTTAGGGATTTAGATTTCATCTAAGATATGCTACAAGCTACCCGACTTCTAGTGAGTCATTTAACTTCAGTAATTTTATTTTCCCATATATCTTCACTTCAATCTGTACAGGAGAAAGATAATGAATATTTATAATGGCATGTGATTCTAAGAAGATGTATTGAGAGAACTGGATTGGCAACTTGCCTGAAAGGAAAAGCAAAGCAACTTGCTACAACTTACCCATTGCTTTCAGTAAGATGAAAAAACAACAGAACAAAATCCCCTTTATTTTACAAATAGCCAGGTCAAAAAACACCAATGAAAATCATGGATACCTTACATCAAATCCCAAGAGCCTCTCTAAATCACAGCCACAGAAGCTACAAGGCTATACAAGCCTATCTGTAATCTAGAGACTCAAAGTAATGTTTCATGTGTTTACACTTCTAAAAATCTTTCCCAAAACAACCTATTAAACCAGTTTTCCTCAATACACACAAAACTAAGACTCTTCTACATTCATAATTAACAAATCATTAGAAATGTAAAGGCTTAGTCTGAATGCACTGCCATGGAGTTTAAACTTTCATTGTAAGTGGATTAAGAACTTACAGCATCTGCTTTACAAATGGTGTTGGCTACATGTCGACACAGCATCTTCAGCCAGTTTTCTTTTGGAAGTTCCTCTGATGTCATCTGAAAGCTGAGCAGCACATTTGCCGGCTCTGTTGGCGGCCTCACCAACAAGGCAAAAGCATTATGGCAATCTAAGGTTCCAGAATAAGCATAAACATTGTGTTATTCTTTGTTAAAGGACAGAATCATACAAGTTAAGTTCCCTCAGAGCAACAAAATTCCAATGAAATTACCTTCTCTACCCTTCCTGTTCTTTCTATTTTTAATTGGACAAAGAACATCACCATAGTACACTCAAACATTGGAAAGGATTATAGTAGTAGTATGTGAGGAACAAAGATGATAATGACATTAAGCAGCAGTATTTTCCATGACATATAATATTTTCTATGGTGTTTTTAAAATAGATACATCATTTCTTAGAATTTCAGAATTTGAGTTTTAAATTAAAATGGCATTATAATAATTTGATGACTCAACCTTAGATCTAGTTCAAAGAAATAAAATGTCCAAATATTAAAATTGTTACAAAATGTTTTATAACTAAGATGCTAAAACAGAACCTATTTTAAACAATTATTATAACCTCTAGTTATAACCCCCAAATATGGAGATTTAAATAAATGTACTATGTAACCCTTGATACTTCCAGAATTTGACAAATGAATAAAGAAAGCAATGTAAGTTGTAGTTCAAGTTTTAATTATTTCTCATAAACTCAAGGCCTTCCATCATTAGAGGACAGGATGAGTAATAGAACCAGCAAACACTGTAAAAACATACACCTAATATCCAAAATACAGCTATGCACATAATCTCTAGATGCCAGTTAAACAGATGATACTATTTTTGGTAGGTTAAAAACTTTTGGCAATTTCAGGCCTTCAAAGAACTCTCCCTAACACTGTCACAATTGTAAGTAAAAGCTCTCCTTTATACATATTTGTCCCATGTCAAGTTTACCATAGTTACTTGCATTTATTCATGCACATCTACGATTCCTGGTCATATCCTAAATATATTCCTAACAATGCAGGCATTACCAAAAAAGCAAAGTATAAGATGTGGAACATAGGTAATAGAGTGGTGATTTCTTTTGGATTCTGAAAGAATAAAAATAAGTTTTAGTGTGGGACTAGGCTAGGCTAGGGCACTATTTTTGACATGTGACCATTTAAAAGCTCTTTGTTCCTTAAGGGATAAAGATGCTCCACAGGTTGATATAGCACTATCAATTGAAAAAAACTAAGAAAATCAAGTCAGTTTTGGAGATGCAGTTGGGAAAGAAGTATAAGAACAATTATTTTACTAGAACCAACCAAATATATTTAAAGATTAATTTACCAGTTTTTAAAAAAATAGCCTACGGGAGTGAAGCAGACCTACAAAGAATATAAACTATTTCATTTACCAATAGTTTATCCAATGAGCATACCTTCAGTCTCTCTTATGTCCAACACCTTCTTAATTTGAGAAAGAGGCATTAGATGAACATGCTTAAGAGAAGCTGGGGGCCGGGTATGGCCATGAGGACTCCTAAAAGTGCCAATCACCTTGTGTCGTTTTCTTGCTATCTGATTACAGAAAAGAAAGTCATTGTCAGTAATATGAATAAACACAATTAAAGATTAAATTAATATAAAAATAAAATGGCACTAATAACATAAATCTATATGCAGCTCATATATGACTATTAGTCATTCCAGATTTACTGTTACAAAAAGTAGAGTTACTATGTGAGAAATTCATACATGTAATTATGTAACAGAAATGCTCATGTTTGTATGAGAAAAGCGCAAAAGCCAGGAAAACAGGCCAACAGGTCAACAGGACAGGGTCTACACAAAAGGTCCCAGAAGTGTGAAAAACCTTAGAAATACTCTGAGAAGCAATAGGATCAAAGGATGGAAGAATCTTCACTAAAAGGCCCCTGAGTTCAGGAAGGCAAAAGTTGCTCTGGAATCTTTTGTCCTGGGTTGAAAAGATAAATGATTTCAACTTAAAAGCAGAATTCACAATTATCACAGATCTGTGCAAGATAAAGGAGTGAATAATACACAAATGATTCTGGATCTCATGATATTTAATACTATTGACAAAGAGGAAGATTAAAAAAGTAACTAAATAATACATGAAACAAATAATACAAATTATTAATCAAAGTGCCATGTTAAGATTTGACTTTGCCTGAACTGGGAACTCATTCAAAAGGAAGAGGTAGGTAAAGTAATGCTGGAAAAAACAGTAGCGAAATTAGAAAGACCTTGTGACTGATGATGCACTTGAGTTCTGTGAATTTTATAAGATCTTTCAATGTGTTGTTTTGATTTCCATGAAAGCCTAGTATATTTTTTGCCTTTTTCAAAGAACATCTGAGATCATAATCATCAACTGAGAGACATTAACACAAAATGATTTAGACTAAGTTACTTAATGAATTTAGTTGAATGGTCATCACAAATATGACAAAGTATGGCTAAAAAATGTGCTACCTCGTGTTGGCTAATGAGAAAAGATGAAAAGACAGTATAATATTCACAATGAAGCAGAAATATGGCATGGAGCTATGTTATATATCAAATATTAAAAGTTCATTTACATTCATATAGTAGAAATAACCAATACTTTCTTAAAATAATGATTTCCACTGTAATATTAGAATATATTTTAAATTAATTTGACTATATACAATGTTACAGTTCATTTTTCAAAAGGACAAGAGTTGCCATTGATGACACAAAAGTACACTGAGGTAAAAACTCAAAACACAGATAATATATAAATAGGAAAATAAATCCATAAATCCTAAATTAGTTTAGCTTCAGTGTATATCACTTGTCATATTTAAGAGAAATCAATTAGTTTTTACCCATTTTAAATGTTCATTTTTCCATATTATTCATTCCAAATTTGGTAACAGTTTAGTGCTTTCTTTTTTCAAACAAACAAGCTAAAGAATAAAAGTTTAGGATTATAAATCTCAAGTCCAAATTTAATGTTAGAAATAGTTGTTTCAGTTAATGTGATTCTAAGATAGGGAGGATAAGAGAGAGTAGAACAAGAAGTCACTGTATTTAGTAATGTAAAGGAAATGAGAAGCCAGGGCATCACATAATGGATTTTGAAGACGCAGGGAATGACCAAGTGGAGGAATTAAAGTGGCAGGTAAGTCAATGAACCAGCTATAGAAGACTTCACAGAATCTGAAAGAGACATAAAATAAAAAATTTAAAGTCAACCACAACTGGGGTATTAAGGGGATAAAACCTAGGATGGATTAGTAAGGAAGTAAAGATAACCTAATCTATTAGACTGAATAAAGGCAGATGACCTACAAACTTCAATAGGAAAAACTTTAAAATGCTTTAAGAGAAGCAAACAAATAAAAGTACTCAGCAACTATGTACAATAAAACCTCATGATGATGCAAATTCAGATAAAATATCGTTGAAAACTGACTCCACCTAGTCCCCATTTTCAAAAGCAGAGCAGGTCAAAGGTCTTATGGAGGAGATGAGTAGCTCAGAGTCATCTGCTTCATGATATTTTATGACTTTTTCAGTTCAAGGTATGGTCTATTGTGTATAGCATTTTCATTATCTTGTGTTTTGTAACATTACTGATCAAACAGAAATAACATTTTTCATTAACCTCACAACAATAAAACTGCACTTCACACAGGTAAATTTTGGTAAGATTTTATAGCCCCCATAACTATGCATGGCTTGTTCTCTAAGATTCCCTGGTATTTTATATTTTAAATAATAATCTATATGATAAGAGAATAGCACCTCAAGTAGAAAAGTGTAAAAGGAAAAGGTGTAGACTTTAAAGAAAAAATAAACTCATAAAATCACTTTAATGAAAGCAACAGAAAACCCAGTGACAGAAATGTCTAATGAGTCTTCTGTTTAATGTCTGTTTTATCAGAACAGTTTTCTCTTCTGAGATGAAGGAAAATATATTCCTTTACATTCCACATTAGATTTTTTAGTTGTTTAAAAATACACTATTAAAAGAATGAAAGAAAAGAGTTGAAAAGGCACACAAACATAATTCAATTTGTCAGTAGGGAGAATATGAGGGAAAAATTTAATTTAGATGAGAATTAAGAATTAGTATCATTGTACCCCGCCTGATACACTGACACTTACTCACTCTAAAACGTGGGGGCTTAAGAAGAAATCATAATTCATAATATTAAATACTCAAGTTATCTCCCTCTTCAACCAAATACTGACTTCTTTCGTGGGAAAATCTACTTAAATTTCAAAAATGCAATTATTTTGCAGATCTTGCATACATGGAAAAAAGTAGTTCCTAAAATTCTTGACCCAAGCATTTATTTGCATGGAAATAAACTAAATTTTTACTCTGGCTTAGATTTGAAGTGATGAAAATGTATCATACTTGTTAAAATTAGGCCCTCTACTAAAAGCATTTCATTAATGGTATTAAACCAACAACTGGTCTCAATCAAAAAAATGTGATTAAGTTTCACTTTACATATATATTATACTTCAATGAAAGTTTGATTTTAAACATTCAGGGAAGACACCCAAATCAGCAGTGTTGTTATACCATATTAAGTACAACTTTACCTCTAAGCAATCATTGAAGAGAAAGAGTGTTACTTGTTCTCCTCTGTCACAGGGGTGCTCACCTAGAGAAACTGTTTCAACTCGTTGCACTAAACTTCGATGAGAAGATAAAAGATTAGCCTGTATAGATTGAAAATATTAATGAAAGACATTACTTGGTAGCAAGTAATTTTCTTAAAGTTATCATTTAAAAGAAAATGGTATAAACATTCCATTTATATGCAGAAACTAAATAACAAAAAAAAAAGAAAATGGATGATCATCAAAAATGAATACTCACTGGGCATCCATCTACTTCATAAACAACATCAAAAATTTGCTTTTGAGCTTCTGTTTTTCTCTTATCCTCATTAATATGGCTGAAAAATTAATAAAGCTGTTCTTAAAACAAAATGACAACTACATGCAATGACAACTCATATCACAAAATAAGACTTTTACATGAGTCTATCTTCATTTTGATAACTGAATCAGTTAAAATATTCCCTAAAAGTATCCCATACTACATTAAAAAAAACTGAACAGAAAGTGCTTAAGAAAATATTTTACTATACTTCTTTTAGTATTCTTTTCTTACTATACTCACTATATACTTCCCAAAATATATTAAACCTGTAAAAATTTCAGATTAACCTAAACTCTTCACCTAAATTCAGATATGGTTTTATGCAGGTCATCCCAAGTCATATGCTAATCATAATCAGTTTACTGAAACAAAAATTAAGACTACTGCTCCCATAAGAATAAGATAGAGTAAGTAGGAAAGGATACCCTTCCACCTGAAACAACTGAAAAGCCATCAAAATATAAAGAAACAAGAGTTCTCAGGACACTGGAAGTCAACTCCTCTGAGACAGGAAGCAAACACTGCAAGCCAACTATATACCATCTATATGAGACACAATCTAGAATCAGAGACAGATAAGCTGAAAGTAAAATGATGGAAATACTCCACTCACCAACAGCAAAATACATATTCTTTTCCACTGTATATGGAACATTCTCCAGGTTAGGCCATAAAGTAAACCTCTTAAGTTCATAAAGACTGAAATAATACAAAGTATCTTCTCTAACAATAATGGAGTAAAATTAGAAATTCATGACAAAAGGAAAATCTTGGAAATTCACAAACATGTAGGAATTAACACACTCCTAAATAACCAATGGGTCAAGAAGAAATCACAAGGAAAATTATAAAACACTTTGAGATAAATAAAAACAAAAACACAGCATACCAAAACTTAGGACTACAACTAAAGCAGGGTTGGGAACTTTATAGCTATAAATGTGTATAATTTTTAAAATGATCTCGAATAAATAACCTAACCTTCCACTTTAAGACACTGGGAAAAAAAGAGAAAACTAAATCTAATGCAAGAAGAAAGAAGGAAATCATAAAAAGTAGAAAACAATGAAACAGAGAATACAAAAACAACAAAAATTGACAAAATTGGTTGTTTCCTTGAAAAGATCAACAAAATTAACAAGGCTTTAGCTAGGCTGACCAAGAAAAAAACTCAAATTACTAAAACCAGGAATAAAAGCAGGACATCACATCCACTTTACCAAATAAAAGGATTATAAGGGAACACTTTGAACAACTATATGCCAACAAATTAGAGAGCTTAAACTTAATGGATAAATTTCTAGAAACTGCAGAAATGACTCAAAAAGAAATAGAAAATCTAAACAGATCTGTAACAAGAAATTAATTTAGTAATTTTAAAACTTCTTACAATAAAAAAAAAATCCCAGGCCCAAATTGCTTCACTGATGAATCCTGCCAAACGTCTGAAGAATTAATACCAATTCTGCACAAATTCTTCCAAAATATAAAAGAGGAGGAACCACTTCCCAGCTTATTCTATGAAACCACTCTTAACCTGATGCCAGTCAAAAACCTCACCCGAAAACTGTAGACTACCATCCCTCATGAATATAGACATCAAAGTAATAGCAAAGAATCCAGCAACATATGAAAAGGATTAAACACCCTGAGCAAGTGAAATTTTATTCCAGGAATACAAGCTTGAGTTAATATGCAAAAATCAATTAAGGTAATATATCATCCCACATGACCACTTCAATGGACCCAAAAAAAATCATTTCACAAAATCCAACACCCTTTCATGATAAAAACATTTAACACTCTAGGAATGAGGACTTCCTAACCCAATAAAGGGAACCATAAAAATCTCACAGCTACCATCATACTTAGTAAAGACTGAATGTTTTTCCCTTAAAATCAGTAACAAGACAAGGACAAGATGTTTTCTCTCTCCACTTCCATTTAATATTGTGCTGGAGCTTCTAGTACATTTAGGCAACAAAATAAAATACAGGGCACCCAGATTGGAATGAAGAAGTAAAATTATCTATTTGAAGATGACATGATCTTGTTTACAGAAAATATTAAGGGAGCCACTAAAAAACTATTAGAACTAAAACAAATTCAGCAAGGTTTCAGTGTACAAGATCAATATATAAAATTCTGTTGACTTTCTATACACAGACAATGGACAATCCAAAAATGAAATTAAAAAAGCAAGTCTACTTACTAAGGCATCAAAAAGAATAAAATACTTAGGAATAAGTTTCACAGAAGTGCAAAACTTATATTCTAAAAGCTACATAACATAGTTCAAAGAAACTGAAGAGTAAATGGAATTAAATGTTCATGAATCAGAAGACTTGAAGTAAGACCTCACATTTATGGTCAGCTGATTTTCAACAAAGATGCAGAAGCAACTCAATGGGAAAAGTATGGTCTTTTCAACAAATAGTGCTAGAATAGATCTCCATATTTTTAAAAAAATGAATACCAATTCATATGTTGCCCATTATATAAAAATTAACTAAAAATTTATCATAGACTTAAATGATTTTTACCCAATGACTAAAAGTAAAAAGCTCCTTGAAGAAAACAGGAGAAAATCTTTATGACCTTTGCTGGGTAAAACCAATATTTTTTAGGTAAAATCATAAAAGTACCACATTAAAAAAAAAAATTAAAGAACTGGACTTCATAAAAATCTAGAACTCCTGCTTTTGCAAAGGAACTATTAAAAGAGAAAAGCCACAGATTATATTTGCAAGTCACATAAAAGCCTTTTGACCAAAATATATAAAGAACTCTCAAAACAGAGAAAACAATTCAAATTTTTTAAAAAAGCAGACAAAAGACTTGAACATTTATATCACCAAAGAAGATAATATGGATGGCAAATTAGCACATGACAAAATTTTCAACATCATATGTCACTTAGGAAAAGGCAAGTGGGAACTATAGTGATATATCACTACATATCTACTAGAATTTCTCAAATTAAAATGCTCACACAGAGAGTAGTAAGGACATGAAGCCATTGGAACTCACCATACACTGTTGGTGGAAATGCAAAATGGTGCAACTACTGTAGAAACAGTCTTGCAATTTTTTAAGAAATTATATATATACCTACTATATGCCCTAGTCATACCTAGGTAGTTATTCAAGGGAAATGAAAGCATATGCCCATATATGCTTTGTAAATGTTCAGAGCAGCTGTATTTGTAATAGCCAGAAACTGGAAACAATCAAAAAGCCACCAACATATTAATGGATAAATACATTGTGGTATATACATACAATGGAAACAATAAGAGGGTGAAATAATGACATGATCAACATTAAGGACTACCTCAAAATAATTATGAGTGAAAAAAGTCTGACAAAAGATTTAATACACTTATTTCATTTTGACAAAATCTTAGAAAATGCAAATTATACAAATAAAAAAGAAAGCAACTGTTGTCTAGGGACAGGCAGGACAGAGAGAAGCAGGAAAAGGGATTACCAAATGCATGAGTAAACTTTTGGAAGTGATGGGAATGTTCCTTCTCTGGATGGTAGTGATGGCTTCATGGAAGTATAAATAAACCAAAATTAATCAAATTATATTTTAAACATATAGAGTTTGTTGAGGAAAAAAACATAGTCAATCTACTACAGAATATATCCATAACAATTAATGTTTTAGTTAAGCATGTGAAACTAATGTGTAAGAATCCAATTTCAGGTTTTACTGGTTTGTTTAAATGGCAAGGACTAGTTAATTGGCGCTGTGAAAATTAAGAGAAAATTCACTGACAACAGGAGGCCTGCAGGGGAAGCTCTCACATCCATCTCTCCTCTTAAATCTCAGACCCCACCAAATAGATGGGCACAATACTCTTTTAACTATTTTACTCTCCCGAAGGAGGAAGAAAGGTTTCCACCTTCTACCTCCCTGCTACAGCCCAGCCAGTGAGAGACTGTCACAACTCAGACAATGAAAAGCCACAAAATGTGAACTTCCAGTTTATGCCAATGGACTTTTTTGCACAGAAAGAGCCTTGACCATTTTCCTTGCAAACAAGTGGTCCTCTCCTTTGTTCTCTGGACATGCCTACAGTTCTGCTGTACCCTGCATGTTCCAGGGTACATGTTCTTTGCTATTCCTGAATTAACCCATCTTTGCTGGTAAAATCCCTAGGCTTAACTGTTAAAGCATCCCAAGAATTCAGATACTGTCAAATTCTGTAAGATTTATAAGTTAGCATCACAATTCAACATTAAAATAGCAGCTCCTATAATTCAATATTTCTTGAAAATCTGTGAGAAAGACATTTAGGGTAGGGATATATTAGAAAGATTCTTATATTCTCAGGAAGCTTAAACAATGTTAAAAAAGAGCGGTATCTTTAATCACCTATCAGTTTGGTTCATTATCCCTATAGCAGCCAGATGACACTATTCTTAAGCAGGAAACAGGTCAAAAGACTAATCCTTACTTAGGTTACTTTATAATCTTTGTTTGCAAAATATATTATATACAAATAAGAAATAGCATAAGCTACCATCAAAATAATAGTGGTATTCTGCACATTAAACAGTTAAATGGAGCAAGCAGTGACCTTTCAAATTCTCTATTCTGAAAATATGTTAACACAGACTACCTACTTCATAGTTTGTTGAAAGGATCAAGGTAAATAATGTGTCAGAATATGTTAAACTATAAAGTGTTGGCAAAATTATCTTGCTGGCCAACATCAAAAAGACTAGGAACAACAAATGCTGGCGAGGATGCTGAGAAAGGGGAACCCTCCCACATTGCTGGTGGGAATGTAAGCTAGTTCAATCACTGTGGAAAGCAACATGGAGGTTCCTCAAAAAACTAAAAATAGAAATACCATTTGACCCGGGAATTCCACTCCTAGGAATTTATCCAAAGAACACAAGTTCTCAGATTCAAAGACATATGCACCCCTATGTTAATAGCAGCACCTTTTACAATAGCCAAGATATGGAAGCAACCTAAGTGTCCATCAGTAGATGAATGGATAAAGAAGATGTGGAAGGTATACACAATGTCATACTATTCAGCCATAAGAAAGAAACAAATCCTACCATTTGCAACAACACAAATGGAGCTGGAGGATATTATGCTCAGTGAAATAAGCCAAGCAGAGAAGGACAAGTACCAAATGATTTCCCTCATTTGTGGAATATAACAACAAAGCAAAACTGAAGGAACAAAACAGCAGCAGAGTCACAGACTCCAAGAAGGGACTAGTGGTTACTAAAGGGGAGGAGTGGGGTAGGGCAGGAGAAGGGGATTGAGGGGTATTACAATTGGCACACATGGTGTGTGGGGGATCATGGGGAAGACAGTGTTAGCACAGAGAAGGCAAATAGTGACTCTGTGGCATCTTACTACAGTGATGGACAGTGACTGCAATGGGGTATGGGGGGATACTCAATAATATAGGTGAATGTAGTAACCACATTGTTTTTCATGTGAAACCTTCTTAAGAGTGTATATCAATAATACCTTAATAAAAAATAAAATAAAATAAAATTTTAAAATAAATAAATAAATTTAATTCAGGAAAAAAAAAAAGAAAAATTATCTTGCCCCCAAGTAACAAATCAAAAGCATGAAGGCTAGCCAATTCTAACTCCAGGGAGAAAATTCCAGGGCAAAATACCTCTCAAACCGAAATTAGCCAAAAGGAGAAATAAAGTTAAGGAACCCATTTATTTCTTACAAGCAGTCATCTGTCTCTCTCTTGACCAGTTGCAACAGAAGGGTATTCCACCCAATCTCTTAGGTCCATATAAACCCTCACACACCCTTATAATTACCTATTCATATGTAGATGGTCCACTTCTCTCCACCCCTTGAAACACCTACTGATATGCAGATGAACTAAAGCCAGGTGAGAGATTCTGGAAATACTACAATTTTACCCACACCAATAGACATAAAATATGACCACAAGCAAAAAACAAAATACGCATGAACCTTACAGCATTAACAGTGGCTGGTATTCACTAATTTGAGCATTATTCTACTGCTGAACCTTCTACTAGAACTAGTAAAGTTTCTCTTAGAGCTCCTTTACAAGTATTTTAAGAAACTCTTTCATATAGTAGCACCTCATTGAATCTCAGAAATCATTAAATCTATTAAATATTAGTACGTAAAGTCCAAAGAGTTGAAATGCCCTCACCCTCCATGAGGCAAAGTAATTAATAGCAACAGAGTTTTCAATTTGGATTATAATTATCAGGAAAAATCATTTCTGATCAGAGCTATGTCTCCAAGTTAGATATATAGAAATTAGCCTAAATTTAACAATCAAGCTCCCAAAATCACTTTCACTGACTTTATATTCTAATACATCTCCAATCAATCCCATCAATCTAATTCCATAAAATTCAAAGAAACAAAAAGTCAAAAGTAGAAATGAATAAGGTATTATAAACCTTTTCTATTTACTTCACCAGAGTCAAAATTCCTAAGTTACATGGGCAGTTTACATGAAAAACAAGCTATGACTGGAGGCATATGAGGAAAATGTCTAATAGTGCATTTATAACATTTTCATATTTCTAAACCATTGTTACTCTGTGCATAATACTTTAATGCCTTCAGAAATAAATATTTTTGATTAATCAATATATTTATAATACTTCTCTATCATTTTAATGTATAACTACATTAGAAAAGTAATTTAGATATCATTTTACAAAGATTTGCTATTGATTTTTTTCTCTCCATTTATGACTCTACCTAGTTGTTCTATCAATTCTACTCTAAATCTAAGGAACAATAAAAAAATGAAATAATGTCCTTACGTCATTACTTCCTTTAATGATCCAATGGCTTTTTCTAGAGTGCTTTTGTCAGGATTTTCTTCAGCTGTATGCTTCTTAAGATCTGTAATGATAAAATGTTTTTTCCATGTTAAAAAAATTCAGTGGTTTCCATCTGACACTTAAAAATGCTGCCATCTTTGATACAGCCTCATTAATTTTTAAAAGTAGCTAATCTTTACTTTAAAAAGTTTTATGCAATGCTCTTTTAATACCTCTCTTTTTACATGTTTCTTAAGGTTTCCACATATTTTAACTAAATTTTCAGATAATGTAACACATATTTTCTTACACTACAATCTCAATTCCCTTTCAGTAAAGCTTGGGGATGCCTAGGTTCCTCAAACTCTCCCCATAGTGCACAATGAAAACACATGATCCTCAATTAACTAAGAAATCATTATATATATGTTATATGTCATACTGGGGCCCATGACTCCAACACAGAAAGTATTCAGTGTATCCTTAAATGTAGTTTTAGTTTGGAGGTTGTTGAGATGCTTATACTTTGACCCTTCTTACCCAGGTTGTTTATACTTCATATGCCATGTTCTACCTAATGGTTCCCTAGTACCATGTCCACCTAATGATTTAAGTGGAATATTAAAAGAAAAACTTAGAAATCATTCAATGGATTTCTGCAAGTACTTAATGAAACAGTAATGAAGGTAAGTAAATAAGAAAAAAAAAGCCACATTGCTTTGTAAAGCTAGGTTTACTTTTTCATACATTCTCTTTATAATCTATAAAATAGGACAACTTTTTAAGTCTGGGAATATCATTTTATAAGCAGTAACTCTATATTAGAACCTTTAAAAGAACAAATAACAATTTTTTTAGTTACTACTATAATTTTTATGTTAACCAAAATGTTTTGAAGTAAAAAATAGATTAAACATTCACAAAATTAGTCTCCTATCTGCTATACATACTACTGTATACATATACTGTACTTTAAATTTGGGGATAAAAATAATTTATTACAGATGTATTCTTATTTGTAATTTAGTTTTCATACCTAGTTTAAAAAAATATATAAACCAACACTGTCATAAAAATATTCATTTCTTTAGTCAGCTAAATGTAAAGACATATATATATGCTTTTCTTTAGTGCATATAAAAAAAACTTTTTTTCATAAAAATTAACTCTGCTGTAAAACTTTTCCATTGATATCTGTAGTTTAAGTCCTGGAATAAACAGATGTTTCAAAAGTGTTCTGTACAATCTAAGAAAAAAAAGTAAGCATAAGACCAAGTATAACAAATTTTATTAGATTCAGAATAGGACTAAATAACTTGAAACATATGAATCATCTCTCATCTTGTTATTTTTGTGGGTAAGTTTTGTGTTTACATGGATATAAATTTATTTTAAAGTAGTGACATACCATAAAAACATAAGACCTTTTAATGGAGAAATAAATATATAGTACTAGTCATATAATTGATATCAGAATAAAGTATTTTAGGCTAGACTGAATTTTTTAGCAGCAGTGATTATTAAGATTACCCATAAAGAAATTTTCTATGTAAAAGATATAACCTTTAATGCTGAAATCTAAGAAAACTATGAAAATGAGAAGAATTTCAAATTTTTTAGGACAGTTTCAGAAACAGCCAAATGATGAAAGCAGCCAAATCAAAAACAGATCAGACAAGTACCATTTAAAAGTAACGCAACACTGGGTAACCTCTGTACTGGTCGGATGAGAAGTTCAACAAGGCTTTGCCGCCCGCATTCTGGTTTGGCTTGGTTTATCTGAAAGGAATCAATTTATTCAACAATAAGAAAAAGATTTTCTGCATAGACACACTACATTTATTAGATTACACCTTATCATTAGGACCCTGGTAAGAACCAACGGAGAGGTATTAGTGGAGGTTGTTCTCTGGCAGATTACTATGGTTGAATAATCTTCCAGGGCCTGAATGAAATAACTTCCTGGCCAGTCAAGAGTTACATCCTAAACAAAAAGTGAGCTCTTCTCCATACTTCTACATATATTCTATCTTAAGTTTTTCTTAATTCTACATCATTCAGAAGAAATAAATTTTAAAATATTCATTATGCTGACACCACAAGAGAAACGAAGTAAGGCACTGGGTAAGGTAAAAAAAAAATCCTTAAAGATAAATCAAAATGTCCTTGGAAAATTGTTAGGTGAGAACTAAAACTAAAACATGAAAACCAAACATGCATAACTTAAAAAAAAAGCAACATTACTCAGCTGCCTCTTGTACCCTGCTACCTAGTACACCAAATCTTCTCAAGATTAACATCACAACCCTCAGCTACAGCTGAAGTTAACAAATTTACATTAAGTTGTTCTTAAATGGATACATTTTTACAAGTAGAATTTTAATGAACTTCAGAAATTATTCTCAGATTTTTATTTGAAAGAAATATACATTACCTTCAGAAAAGCATGAAACCTTGGTTTCTGTTTTTCACATTTAATAATTGTTTCCTTGCTCATTTCAAAGAAGTTTACAAAGGGAGGGTAAGTTTTTACCAAATCTTTTGACTAAGATGAAGAAAAAAAAAAACATTTATTTGTTACATATGTCATCCTTTGACAACTTAACTAAAAGCCTAATTATCAGGTCACATCTGACATTGATTGTATACAAAAGAAAACTTAAGTTTCTTTTCAAGTTAAATGCAGAAATTTAGTTTATAAACTTCTAACAAATGAGTTAACTGCTGGACAAAAATGCATCACTTGATACACAGACTGAAACTTGAACAGCAAACAGTAAATAAAGACCCAGAAAGACACAAAAGTATATTACAACTCATTATATTGACATAAACGTAACAGAGAAAGTTTCAAAACATTTTCGAGTTCTGAACATAGTAGTTAGTTATCTATAACAGAATCCAAGAACATGCTATTATTTATTGATGGATCCAAACCACCATTGAAAGGTCAACTATATTTCCTAAAAATGCAGACAAGACAAGGAAAAATGCCTTGGCTAACTGAAGAGACTAATAGGTATCAGAAAGATATGTAACAATAAACTGCATATTTAGAATTCTCAACTAACCAGGAAAAAAAACATCCAAGAAACTGTATGGTAAGGAAGAAAGTTAAGAGGAAAGCTCAGAAAAATAAGAGTAAATGTGCCAGAACCCAAAGAACTGAAACTTATAAACTGTATTCAAAGAGACTGAAATTTATAAATCCTTTTCATATCATCTCATTCAAAATGAACCTACTTTATTTGACAAAATTAAGCTCTATGGTCCTTATCCTAGTAAAGAACAAGCTGTTCATTAGAAGCTTTTATGCTCAACAGCCATGGTGACATCAAAAAGATGCCAACTAAGAAAAAATAAAAAATAATTAATTTCAAAATAATTAATTTGTGGACATTTATGAAGGGCAAATAATTTGATATACAGTAAAAAGATTATAGCACAGTACAATTAGTGTTCCTATTGGTGACATGGGGCTACCAAGAAAAGTGTTAAATTTCATACAGTAATATTTCAGAACACAAGAACACTTCCAATATATTTTACAAACACAATCCTGTCAAAGTTGTAAAAGTTCTCACATTTAACAGGTAACTTTAATTCCATCCCAGTCCTTGATAAGATGAAACTTGAACCTGAAAACTTAAATAAAATACTTACATATTTAAGAAAGATGTCACCAATGCTTTTGCTCTCATCCCAATTCACAATAAGGTCTTCAAGATCATCCTGACAAAGAAAAAATTGAAACATTTAAGACAACTTGAACACCTTTTAATATTTAACACAAAACATCTTTTAATATTTTCAAAAAACTCATTTGAAAGAAGCACTTTTACAAAGTGTCTTAATTTGATGTGCAGAACTAATACATTCTTTCTCCTCAACAAGGAACTATGACAATAAAGAAAATACTCCTTGAAAAATAATTGAGAAAACTATTATACAAAGGTCAAGTCAATACAATTAACCCTAACTCCCCAATATGATGTGATAGTTCAATCTTTTCTTATTAACTATAAAGCTGACTGGAGTTATTAGGCATAGAAAATTCCTTTCAATCCTGTTGCTGAAGCATCCTATTTAATATCAGCCATTAGAAACTATAATCTATAACAGGGGTTAACAAGCTTTAAAGGGCCAGATGATAAATATTTTAAGGCTTGCAGGCCATATGATTTCTGTCACAAGTACTCAACTCTGTCCCTGAAGAGAGAAAGCACAGACAATACATAAAAATTGAGTATGGCTGTGATTCAATAAAACTTTACCAGAACAAGAAAAACTTTACCAAAATTTAAAACTAGCCAGACTGGTCTATTGATTACAGTTTGCTAATCCCTGCTCTATAAAACCCCTCTACTGTTATACTAACATACTATATATTTGTAAAAATTTAGAAGACAATTGAAGTTTTCTAAGATAATAAAACATATTCAGATTATAAAATGAGATGCCAAGAAATGGCATGCCCTAAAATTCTGAGACTTTAAAATAGAAATTAATCAATAAACTCTTATACCAGAGGTTCTCAACCATACACAGACGCCCGAGGACAAGTTTTTAGTAGGATCTGTGAGATTAAAACTATTTTTATTACAATACTAAAGTATTATTTGACTTTTTCATTTCTCTCACAAGTATTCAGTAGCGTTTTTTAGAGGCTACATGTGTGATACTGCAAAACACTGAATTCAGAAGCAAATACTAAAACAGTCACCTCTTAAGCCAGGTAGAAAAAATGAAATACATCACTCTTCTCACAATGTTTTGGAAATCAATTATTTTTCATAAAGAATGTTATTTATACTACCATGTGATGAGTTATTATTACTTTAAATGTCCTTATTACCCACATACAAAAAGATAGAACCTCATTTTACCAAAAAATTAACTCAGAATAGATTACAGACCTAAATATAGAGGTAAAACAAAACAACTTTTAGGAGAAAATGTTTAAAACCTTAGTTTAGGCAAAAATTTCTTAGATATGACACCAAGAATACAGTATATTAAAAAAGTGGATAAAAATTATACTTTTGTACTTCAAAAGATAGCATTAAGAAAATGAAAACAAGCAACAAGAGACTGGGAGAAAATATTTGAAAAACACATAGCTGACAAAGCACTTTAACTAGAATTTATGGAAAAGTTACAATTCAAAAAGACAACAACCCAATTCAAAAAATGGGCAACAGAACTAAACACACATTTCACCAAAGAGAATATACAACAAATGTTCAACATCATTAATCACTGGGGAAATGCATATCAAACCCCAATGAGACACCACTTCACCACATCCTTGAATGACTATAAAAAAAGTACTGCCAAGAATGTGGAGAAATTTGAACCCTTATATACTACTGGTGAGAATGCAAAATTATATAAAAGCCTGGCACTGTCTCAAAAATTGTAAATATAAGACTACCAATATGACCCAAGAGCAATACTACTCATAAGTATCTAATGAAGAGAAATAATAGCATGCCCACACAAAGACTTGTACACAATGTGCATAGCAACATTATTTGTAAAAGCCAAAAATAAAACAACCTAAATTTCCATCAATTGGTGAATGCATATAGAAATATGCAATAGCCATATAATGGAATATTATGTGGGGATACAAAGGAACAAACAACTAACATGCTATATCATTCATGAAACTCAAAAATATACCATATTAAAGTTAGACATAAGACACCACATACTATATGGAATAAACATTAGTATGGGCTGTTTTGAAAAAACTGATCAATTTTGCTCAAGCACCACAGAGGGAAAATTGGAGGAAATAAGGCTAAACTACTTTTAAGAGTTCAGCTTAAACCTGCCCAAAAAATTACTTCACTGTGAGACTGATACCTAAAAATCATGGACCTTTCCTCAAAGGATAATCATTAAAAGGGGCTAACATTTTCTTACATGGTTTTGGTATTTATCTGACTATAACTAGAACAATGAATGAAATGATCTCTAAGTGTCTTCCAGCTTCACAGTTTTCAAACAAACTGAAGCAAAACAAAAACATAAAACCCAAGAGGAACAACAAGAAAATAAATAGTGCTACCAACTACATGTGTCTATAGAAAAGACTCTCACAGGTCTTAATTCCTTATTTTCAAGATTAATTGAAATTTAAAAAAAAAAGGCAAACAAACTAATAAGGCACTGGATCAAGGGAACAAATGATTCAAAAGAATAAATGAGGGAGGGAGTAAGAAATTTTAGGTACAAAACTTATTTATCTAATCACAAGTACCTGAAAAATCATAATAAATATAAATAATCCAAAAAGAATTACTACCAACCTAATGCACAAATTTACCTTTATTTTAGTGTGCACATCAAAAATATCTGGGATACTACCAAAAATAGTCTTAATCTCTTCTGGTGCAAGGATAGGCCCACCGCGCTGTCCTTCTTCCTCCAATGGTACTTGAAATAACTAAAATGCGGAACAAAAAAAGACTAGGTTAGTTAGGAAAAAAAAAAAAACTAACACATAGACAGTGATAAGAAATGAAATGTTGATTAAAAATAAAAAAGTCATTATAAAAAAAATACCTCTTCCTAAATTGAAGACCTTTTTTCTCATAACATTTTCTATTGTATTATAACCTATTTATTTATGTATTTGTATATGTGTGTATATATACTCTTAAAATTAAATGTTATGTTAGAATCTAATAAAAATTTATCACTCAGTTCTACAAATCATTAAAATTTTAATATGACACAGAGTTATTTCTACTCTTATTGAAGTTACTAAGAAAGAAAGCAATAAACAGTTATTTCTAGACATATACTTAGTATTAAGTATTAAATGTTTTGAAATGGTAGCATGGAAACTTGGTTTAGGGGAGAAACTGAATTTGAAGCTAGAAGACTGTTGATGATGATGCTTGTATCAATCTAAAAAAGCAAAGGAAAAAACCCTTCTAAAACTAATAACTGAGTTCAGCAAGGTCACAAGATACAAGGTCAGCATGCACATGCACACACACTCTCACATGCACACACACTCTCACCATGCAGATCATTGATCACACACTGATCACACACTGTACATTCTGTATTAGTAACATACAAATGGAAACCAAAATTTAAAAAGCATTTCATTTATAATAAAAGATTAAAATACTTAATAAAACACATATATGATACAGAAAACTAAAGAATGCTGATGAGAGAAATCAAAGACTTAAATAAATGAAGACATATGGTCATGGATTAAAAGACTCAAAACACTAAGAACATCACTTTTCCTCCAAATTGATCTATGAATTTAACCCAGTTCCTATCTAAATTCTAGACTTTTCATAGATAAAGAAAACCTTATTCTAAAAATTTATATGGAAAGGCAAAGGAACTTTTTACTATAAAGCTGCAATACTCAAGACTGTGTTAATGGTAACAGGAGAAACATACAAGATCAACAGAACAGAATAAAGTCCAGAAATAAGTTCACACAACTATGGACAACTAATTTTTGACACAAGTGCCAAAGCAATTCAATGGAGGAAAACTAATCATTCAACAAATGGTACTACACCACCATCGGCCACAGGCAAAATATGAACCTCAGCCTAAATATAACACTTTAAACAAAAAAGTCATTCAAAATGGACCATCAGCCTAAACAAAAATACTAAAACTATGAAACATGTAGAAAAAACCACAGGAGACAACCTTGTGACTTAGGCTTAAAGAGTTTTAAAATATGAAATCAAAAGTATGACTTTTCTATTAAAAAAACCCTGATAAATTACTTCAAAAATAAAGTTTCCCTCAGCAAAAGACTCAGACTGAGAAGACAGACTATAAACTAGGAAAAAATATTTGCAAATCACATCTGACCAAGGACTAGTATCTAAAATACATGAAGGACTCTCAAAACTTAGGAAGGAAACAACCCCATTAGAAATGGGCAAAATCTTGAAAAGTTATTTCAACAAAAAATATATAGATCTACAGATGTCAAGTAAGGGCAAGAAGAGATGTTCAACATCATTAGCCATTACAGAAATGAAAATTAAAGCAAAAATGAGATATCATTACGTACCTATATGAATGGCTACAATAAAAACACTGCTGATAACATCAAGGACTGATGAGGATCTGAGTACCTGGAACTCACACACTGCTGGTGGAAATGCAAAATTATATAGCTCCTCTGGAAAAGGATTTGACAATTTCTCATAAAGTTAAACACAACTTACCATACGATCCAACAACTCCACTCCTAGGTTTACCCAAGAGAAATAGAAAATTATGTTCACATAAAACCTGTACACAAATGTTAACGGCTCTCTTCATAACTGCCCCAAACTAGAAATGACCCAAACGTCCTTTAATGTGTCAACAGATAAACTGTGGTACATCCACACAATGGTACACTATTCATCAATAAAAAGAATCGAAATACTGATATACACAACAAATTAGATGAACCTCAAAGTCTCAAAGAAGACAGCCTCAACAGATTATATACTACATGATCCCATTTATATGACATTATTTAAAAAGACAAAATTATAGTGATGGAGAAGAGATAATGGCTGCCAGGAGTTGGAATTAGGAAACTATGTAACTTACAAAGGAAGAGTACCAGGAGATTTTTAAGGATTGAAATGTTTCTATCCTGATTGTAATGGTGGTCATACAAATTTTCTCCTGTGTTAAAAATTCATAAAACTATACATCAAAGAAAAAGTCTATTTTATTGTATGGTAACATAAAAAGTATAAATTTTGAAAAGTCGATTTACTATTTAAGGTAAAAATAATAATGTACTGTTCAGTTCTTAATATATGTAGAAGTAAAATGAATGACAGTAATAAAAGCACAATGGCCAGGGGGGTGAGAAACAGAAGTTTAAAAAAAAAAGGTAAAAAGAAAATACTTTACTAACAGTAAGGACCTACATGAAGATTCCAAATTGTTACTATTTTGAAGAATGCCTACAATCTTAACAGTCCTTCCATTTCTGCAAGTATTGTGAACCCTACCTACTGAAAACTAAAACTATACCAAAATAAGAAAAACCTCTTCCTAAATACATCAAGAAGCTAATAATAAAGTAAAGTATCTTCAGAGGTCAAAAGCTATCCCTACATTTTTAGTTGAACACTAAAGACAGCTTTTACCCCAACAACATTGGCCTCAACTGATGAAAGTTGAGCTTCACCTATACAAGTCTCAATGGGCACAAAAGACCAACGTAAAACCTGGTTTCTAATCTACTATCAACTTCAGTAAAGTAAAAAATGTGCATAACCTGCAACCCAGAAATGCTAGATTTTTACCCAGAATATGTTCTCAAGGAGACATGAATAAAAATATTCACAGTAGCATTGATAGTAATAGTAAAATACAAACAACACTAAAATTTAAAGTAACTCCAATGTCCGTTAAAAAGAAAAATTAAATAAACTGAAATATTCACCCAGGAAAATGAATATAACTACATGTAACAAAACAGATGTGTCTCAAGAACATTTCTATCAAGAGAAAAAAGCAAGTCATTAAAAACACACAAATATAGTTACATTTATAAAGTCCATGTTCCTACACATGTGATAGATCTGCAAGGGAAATGATAAGCAAAAAACTGCAAATAATTATCTCTGAGGTGAGGGAATGGAATGAGATTGGAGAAAAATACAATAGAGTATATTTATAAACATTCATTTATCTAGTCAACATTTAATTAAAAACCCTGAACAAGATTATTCAGACAACTAAAATACATAGAGGTTCATTAAAACCTCTCAATAGTCTTAAGACATGTTAAACTACCCTAAAATAGTTCTGCACTTGCTTTAATTCCCATATAAAATTACATAGCCAAAAACTACTGACTCTACATTTCCAGTATTTCTCACATCTATCTTCTTTCCATTTTCACTGATAACATCTAAGAAATTCAGGTCCTCAAAATCTCTAACCAGGACTGGTGAAGTAACCTCCAAATTGATCTCCTTACCTCCACAATTTCCCCTCTTCAATACCTCCTTAAAGTGAACCAAGTTTATCTTCCTAAAATGCAAGTTAGATCGTATCATCTTCCTCTTCTCATCAAAAATTATTCTATTCCCAACAGATGACAGAGCACACTAAACAAAGGTCTTCTCTGGTCTGGCACAGGCAGTCTAATCTCAACTCTCACTGTTTCCACACCTCATTCCCTAACCCACTCGAAACTCTAATTACCCTGGACTACTCATAAAACCTTGAACGATACACACTTTCAAATATCTATATTGTTTGCACAATCTCAAATGTACTTTCCACCCATAATATTTGTATATACCAATCATACTCATACTTTAAAGTTCACTTCAGTTTTTGTCTTCTTTATGATGCTTTTCCCAATGTTCAACCCACTGAAAATCCCAGCCTAGCAGCCTTCCTAAATTGGAAGAGTGGTAACTTTCGCCTCACAAATCTCTAAATACCTTAACTAAACCTCCTCATGATGATCATATCCTTCCACTTGGTATTATAATTACATGTGGATGTTTTATCTCCTCTCCAGTCTAAGCATCTTTAAACAGAAATTCTCTTTAACACCTGACACAATATTTTTATTAGTAGACACCCAAGTGTTATATAGAAAAAGCTTCTGGATATTTAATTTGGAGGCTAAGTTAAAATTAAGTTATTCCAAATCCAATTTCAAAAAAAATAAAAGGAACATATTAGTCCTAAAATAAACATTAACTTTTGTAGAGAACACTATCATAAATTTAGACCATAATCATTTAAATAAAACGATAGATGAGTTTATACTAAGCATAGTGATATGAAACTGTTTATAATCTAATAATGCTAAGAGCTTTGTTTTAATGGAATTTTAATGAATTTAATTGATATCCAAATTAGAACTCTGAAACTCCAGTGCTTTTACCATAGCCTGAAAGGATTTACATTTCTAGGCAATAAATGCCACAGAAGGAAGTACATGAGCACAGTATATGCCAAAGGGACTTTCTGCTACTCAACTCCATTTTGGCTGACAATAAAAACTTCAACAAGAAGCTCATCTAGGATGATTTCCCTTGAAGAGTGACTTAAAACAAGTAGAGTTTAATATAGCAGAGGGCCTTATAAAACCTTGACTACTGATAAACAAATTAACTACGAAGAATAAACTCTTCATGAATACCAAGAAAGATGTTTTTTTCCATTTCTTACCTATGAATTTTATCAATGGTACAAGCAACTAAAGCTATTATATTGGACCTTAATGAGTTACATCAAGAATTTAAATAGAGATCAGCTAAAAATTAAACCAAATCAGAAACTACCTATCATTTTTCTATTTAAAGGCAAACTTGTTGGTATTTATTTTCCTGACAAACTATCTTCTTCATTACCTAAAACAAATACATTTTCCTTCTTCAGATACTACATTAATGTCCTATTATTTCTTTCATAACCTTGAATTTGTTTGTTCTTTAACATCTTCAAACTCATCCTACAAGAACTCATAGGAATTATTTTTCTTCAGAAATAACTTAAGAGTACATTGTAATATTGATAAGCAATGCATTAACATTTATGACTAACAACTGTATATTTGAAACATGGAAGCATTACTGAAAAAAATTACTGATATCCATACTGTTTTGCTTCATTGTATTGCTTTTTCACTATGTATAGTATTAAAGAAAGCAATGACTTTGAAAACCAGTTACCCATCACTTCTAAATATAAGTATAAATGCAGTTATCGTGACAAGGAACCTGCAAAGTACTGAATTAAACTCAGTCCCCTCTAAGATTATCTACTGAGGATCCTTTGCATTTTAAAGTCACTATGAAAAATAGTGCTCTTTCTGCATAAACAAAAACTACTATTACATTTATGGCCTGTCCCTAACAGCAGTTTTTGTCACACATTTTCATTTTTAGTATCTGTGTTCAAATTCTATGCTTATATAATTTTCTTTTAAGTAGTAACATCTCTTAGATTTTTTACTGAGGTACACTGGAATAAAAATCATTTTGCAACCAAACTCTTACCTGAATAATTGTGGCCAGTATATTTACATAATTACTTTCAGTCTGATAGAGCTCTTTTGCAACTTGCCACCTTGCAGACTGCTCTGAAGGAACCGGAGTGGAATTTTTAGACTTAGTGCAACTCTTTGGTGTTTCTAAAGGTAAAAAGGAGAAAAGATTTAATGGAAGGTAGATGTAAGTACCAAACATTGTACAGATTTAACAGGAAAATAAAGAGAAGGATACCGACTCTTAGAAATATACCACCTGATAGATTTTCATTAAAGTGAAATTTCCTCACAGGATAAGGCCAGTAAAAAATGGTCAAAAATGATCAATGGGTCAAAACTAATAAACATTCTACATTATATTTTGAAGACTATACTCTTCAAAAATGTCAAGATGTTATGATAAAACCAAAGAAAGATTGAGGAACTATTCCAGATTAGAAGAGATTAGAAAGAGATAACATAAAAACATGTCACCCTGGATTGGATCCTGGACCAGAAAAAAGATTTTTATTTTGCTAAGAAGGACATTAGGATATTAGTGGGATAATCGGTAAAAATTAAGAATAGATAGTAGCATTTATGTTAATTTCCTAATTACAATACTTGTACCATAGTTATATAAGAAATGTCTCTGTATTTTGGGAAATACACATTTAAGTATATAGAGATAAAGGCATGTTACATCTGTAATTTACTCTTAAACAATGCAGATATATTTTTTAAATGTGTGTGTAGAAAAAGAGAGAAAAAGAAAATGAATGAATGAATGCTAATTTCCATTTGGGAAATCTGAGCAGAGTATACTAGAAAACTGTACTATTTTTGGCAGTTTTTTGGCAATCTGAAATTATTTCAGAATAGCTGAAATAATAAATTGGAAAGCAACATATAAAATATTTTAAGTTGAAAAAGGAAGAGGTTGGATGCTTAAAGATGGCAGCATGAAAGTTGGGACAGAAACCTACTCCCAAAACCATATATAATGTGAAAATATAGCAAATACATCTAATCCTCAAAGAGCAACAGGAAAGAAGACTGCGGTAGACTGCCTATACCTGGAGAAAACAGCAGACCTCAAGGAAAATGGTAAAGTACCAAAGGCATGATCCAGTGGGACCCAAGCCCTTCCCTCACCCCAGCTAACCAGCAGGAAGAAGAGAAAGGGAGCAAGGAGGGGGTGTAGGGCTAGGACTGCTGACACCTGGCCCTGGAGATCTGCTCTGAAAGCATGAACCTACATTACATGGTGCTCTGGAGATTAGTCGGGTCAGAAAGCTTAGACAGGCAGAATACTTAGAGACTGAGATTCCAACTGCTTGTGGAAAACACATATCCACAACCGGCCACTGAGGGGCAAAAGAAAGGCGGGTAGTCTGAGAGACTTCCTAACAGCGAGAGGGCTGCTTAAGGGGCAAGGATTGCTCAGAGCTTTCTACTCAGGAGAAAGGACAGGTGGACAAAATTACTCAGGTGCACACAGCCCAGCAGGTTGGGAACTTTGAGGATCTTCAGGCACTCCATCCCCCTGGCTGGCTACACAGCTACGAGCCCCTCCCTTCCCATACACAGCCAGCTGCACCTTCCTCCCAGCCAGCATGAGCTAGCAAACTGACTACACCTGCCATTGTTCCAGGCCAACCAGAGGGCAGCCCCGCCTACAGCAACTACAAGTGCAAAGCACAGAGGCTTCTTGTTGTGCACTTGACCCACTGGCCCTGGCAGTAAAGGCAGGCACTGCAGCGGAAAAGCAGGAAAGAGCTCTTTCCTCTGCACAAGCACCAGCACCACTCATGTGCAACCACCACCATTGCACCAGGAGTTGAGCAGCTCCAGAGAGTAGAGCTTCTGAGTACTAGAGGGCGCCACATACAAGTGTGAAACGTCAAAAGAACCTGGTTAAAACCAAAATCCCACAAACACCAGAAAGAGTGCCAAGTGAAACTGAACTCATCAATCTTCCTGAAGGATATTTCAAAATAAAAATTATGAACATGCTCACTGAGCTAGAGAAAAATATTCAACAACTGAGAGAGGAATTCAAGAATGAGGTTCAAATGTTGAGGAATACAGTCTCTGAAACGAAACATACAATGGAGGGATTTAAAAGCAGATTAGATGAAGGAGGGGAGACAGTAAATGAGAGAAATGAGAGTACAGGAATACAACCAAGGTGAGGCTCAGAGAGAAAAAAGGATCTCTAGGAATGAAAGAATATTGAGAGAACTTCGCATTGTAGGGGTACCAGAAGAAGAAGAGAGGGGAAAAAAGGTATAGAAAATGTCTCTGAGGAGGTAATTGCTGAAAACTTCCCCAATCAGGGGGAGGAGATCCTCTCTCAGGCTATGGAGGTGCACAGATCTCCCAACACAAGAGACTCAGGGAAAACACGAAGACATATAATAATTAAAATGGCAAAGATCAAGGATAAGGACAGACCATTAAAAGCAGCCAGAGAGAGATCACATACAAAGGAAAACCAATCAGACTGTCATCAGACTTCTCAGCAGAAACCTTACAGGCCAATAGGCAGTGGCATGATATATTCAATGTAATAAAACAGAAGGGTCTCAACCAAGAATACTCTACCCACTAAGATTATTATTTAAATTTGAAGGAGGGATTAAACAATTGCCAGATAAGCAAAAGCCAGGATAATTTACCACATATAAACTGTCTCTACAGTGATTTTGGAGGGACTGCTATAGATAGAAGTGTTCCTAAAGCTAAATAGCTCTCACCAGAGGAAATAAAACCACAGTAAAGAAAGTGGACCAAGTAATTACTAATCACATGCAAAATTAAATCAACTACCCCAAAAGTCAGTCAAGGGATAAACAGAGTACAGAATATGATACCTAATATATAGAGAATGGAGGAGGGAGAAAAAAGAAAAAGAAAAAGAACTTTTAGATTGTGTTTGTAATAGCATACTGAGTTTAGTTAGGTGAGACTGTTAGATAGTAAAGAAGATAGCCTTGAACCTTTCATAACCACGAATCTAAAGACTGCAATGGCAGTTAACTACATGCCTATCGATAATCACCCTAAATATAAAATGGTCTGAATGCACCTATCAAAAGACATAAAGTCCCTGAATGGATAAAAAAAAACAAGACCTGTTTATATGCTGTTTATATGAGAGTCACTTCAAACCCAAAGACATACACAGACTAAAAGTGAATGGAAAAAGACATTTCATGCAATTAAAAGGGAGAAAAAAGCAGGAGTTGCACCACTTGTATCAAACAAAATAGACTTCAAAACAAAGAAAGTAACAAGAGACAAAGAAGGACTTTATAATGATAAAGGGGCCAGTCCAACCAGAGGATATAACATTTTAAGTATCTATGCCCCCAACATAGGAGCACCTACATATGTAAAACAAATATTAACAAAATTGAAAGGGTAAATAGAATGCAATGCATTCATTTTAGGAGACTCACTCCAAAGAACAGATCAACCAGACAGAAAATAAGTAAGGAGACAGAAGCTCTGAACAGCACATTAGAACAGATGGACCTAATAGACATCTATAGAACTCTATACCTAAAAGCAGCAGAATACACATTCTTCTCAAGTGTATATGGAACATTTTCAAGAATAGATCATATACCAGGCCACAGAAAGGGACTCAGTAAATCCAAAAATATTGAAATTGTACCAACCAGCTTCTCAGACCACAAAGGTACAAAACTAGAAATAAATTACACAAAGAATATAAAAAAGCCCACAAACACATGGAGGCTTAACAACATGCTCCTAAATATTCAATGGATCAATGACCAAATAAAAATAGAGATCAAGCAATATATGGAGACAAATGACAACAATAATTCAACACTGCAGAATCTGTGGGATGCAGCAAAGGCAATGGTAAGAGGGAAGTATATAGCAATACAGACTTACCTCAAGAAAGAAGAACAATTCCTTATGAACAGTCTAAACTAACAATTAACAAAACTAGAAAAAGAGGAAAAATTGAGACCCAAAGTCAGGAGGATGGACAGAATAAAGATTAGAGCAGAATAAATAAAACTGAGAAGAATAAATCAATAGAAAGAATCAGTGAGAGAGGAAGCTGGTTCTTTGAGAAGATAAACAAAATAGATAAACCCCTAGCCAGACTTATCAAGAAAAAAAGAGTCTACACACATAAAGAGAATCACAAATGAGAAAGGAAAAATCACTACAGCCACCAAGGAAATACAAAAAATTTTTAGAGAATACTGTGAAAAATTATATGCTAACAAACTGGATAACCTAAAAGAAACAGACAACTTTCTAGAAAGATAAAATGTCCAAGGCTGACCCAGGAAGAAACAGAAAATCTGAATAGACCAATTAACAGCAATGAAATTGAACTGGTAATCAAAAAACTACCTACGAACAAAATCCCTGTACCAGATGGCTTCACTGCAGAATTTTATCAAACATATAGTCAAGACCTAATACCCATTATTCCTTAAAGTTTTCAAAAAAGTAGAGGACAAGGGAATACTTCCAAAGTCATTCTATGAGGCCAGCAATACCCTAATAACAAAACCAGCAAAAGATATCATAGTAAAAGAAAATTACAGACCAATATCCCTAAACATAGATGCAAAAATAGACAACAAAATATGAACAAATTGAATTAAAAAACCAAAAAACCAAAAAACCAAAAAAATTCATCCATCATGATCAAGTAGTATTTACACCAGGGATGCAAGAATGGTACAATATTAGAAAATCCATTAACATCATGCACCACATAAACAAAAAGGACAAAAACCACTTGATCATCTCCATAGATGCGGAAAAAGCATTTGACAAAATTCAACATTCTTTCATGATAAAAACTCTCAACAAAATGGGTATAGAGGGCAAGAATCTCAACATAATAAAGGCCCTATACAACAAACCCACACCCAACACGTTACTTAATAGCAAAAAGCTGAAAGCTTTTCCTCTAAGATCAGGAACAAGACAATGACACCCACTCACCCCACTTTTATTCAACATAGTACTGGAGGTCCTAGCTACAGCAATCAGATTGACAAGGAAGAAGTTAAACTGTCACTGTTTGCAGACGACATGATATTGTACATAAAAAATCCTATAGAATCCACCCCAAAACAACTAGAATAACTGAATTCAGCAAAGTTGCAGGACACAAAATCAATACACAGACATCTGTTGCATTCCTATATACTAACGATGAACTAGCAGAAAGAGAAATCAGGAAAACAATTCCATTCACAGTTGCATCAAAAAGCATAAGACCTATTCCCTGAAAACTACTAGACTCCCTTAAGAGAAATTAAAGAGGACACCAATAAATGGAAATATGTCCTGTGCCTATGGATAGGAAGAATTAATATTGTCAAATGGCTATCCTGTCTAAAGCAATCAACAGATTCAATGCAATCCCTATCAAAACACCAATGGCATTCTTCAACGAACTAGAGCAAATAATTAGAAAATTCATATGAAACCACAAAGACCCCAAATAGCCAAAGCAATCCTGAGAAGGAAGAATAAAGCTGGGGGGATTATGGTCTCCGACTTCAAGCTCTACTACAAAGACACAGTAATCAAGACAATTTGGTACTGGCACAAGAACAGACCCATAGATCAATGGACTAGAATAGAGAGTCCAGATATAAACCCTAGCATTATATGGTCAATTAATATAAGATAAAGGAGCCATGGATATATAATGGAGACATGACAGCCTCTTCAATAGCTGGTGTTGGCACAAGTGGACAGCTATATGTAAGAAAATCAAACTGGATTATTGTCTGACTCCATACACAAAAGTAAACTCGAAAAGAATCAAAGCCCTGGATGTAAGTCATGAAACCATAAAACTCTTAGAAGACAACATAGGTAAAAATCTTTTCACTATAAACATGAGCAACTTTTTCCTGAATGCATCTCCTCAGGCAAGGGAAACAAAAGCAAAAATGAACAAATGGGACTACATCATGCTAAAAAGCTTGTGTACAGCAAAGGACACCACCAGCAGAACAAAAAGTCATGCTACAGTATGGGAGAATATATTTGTAAATGACATACCCGACAAGGGGCTAACATCCAAAATCTATAAAAAACTCACTCACGTGCCGTAACACCCAAAAAGCAAATAGCCTGATTAAAAAATGGGCAGAGGATATGAACAGACAGTTCTCCAAAGAAGCAATTCAGATGGCCAACAGGCACATGAAAAGATGATCCACCTCACTAATCATCAGGGAAATGCAAATTAAAACCACAATGAGATATCAAGTCACACCAGTTAGGATGGCCAACATCCAAGACTAGAAACAACAAATGCTGGCGAGGTAGCAAAAGGGAACCCTCTTACACTGCTGGTGGGAATGTAAATTAGTTCAACCATTGTGGAAAGCAATATGGAGGTTCCTCAAAAAACTAAAAATAGAAATACCATTTGACCTGGGAATTCCACTCCTAGGACTTTACCCAAAGAAAGCAATATCTCAGATTCAAAAAGACATATGCACCCCTATGTTTATCACAGCACTATTTACAATAGCTAAGATATGGAAGCAACCTAAGTGACCATCAGTAGATGAATGGATAAAGAAGATGTGGTACATATACACAATGGAATACTATTCAGCCGTGAGAAGAAAACAAATTCTACCATTTGCAACAACATGGATGGAGCTAGAGGTATCGTGCTCAGTGAAATAAGCCAGGCAGAGAAAGACAAGTATCAAATGATTTCCCTTATTTGTGTAGTGTAACAACGAAGCAAAACTGAAGGAACAAAACAGCAGCAGACTCACAGACTCCCAAGAAGGGACTAGCAGTTACCAAAGGGGAGGGGTTGGAGAGGTTGTGGGGGAGGGCAGGAAGAAGGGGATTAGGGGGTATTATGATTGGCACACATGGTATTGGGGGGTCATGGGGAAGACAATGTAGCACAGAGAAGACAAGTAGTGATTCTGTGGCATCTTACTACACTGATGACAGTTACTGCAATGGGCTATGGAGGCAACTTGATAATATGGGTGAATGTAGTAACCACACTATTTTTCATGTGAAACCTTCCTAAGAGAATATATCAATGATACCTTAATAAAAGAAAAAAGAAGAGGTTGTTCTGATTTCACAACAACAGTAACAGAAAATTTTTCATATATATATGAAGGAAGCCTCCCTCTAAAAAACCCAACATCAACTGCATATTGTTTGTTAATTTAAAGTATCTTATAATATAAACCATCCATTTCAACTCAAAGTAGGAAGAAGATACATTATTATACTTTGTATTTCAAAAAAATTTGGAAGAAAAAAAGAAATTTTATAAAAGCTAAAATATATTTTTACTTTCATTGTAGTTAGAATACTTCTACTTTATATATTGAATCCCTTAGTATCAAGTTTTTCTGTACAAACAGGAATGTATAACAAGCAATAATATCACATAAAAAAGATATTTAGTCCCAGCATATAAACTTTTACTCAATAATAACTAATTTAAACATTATTAAAATAATAATGTATATTACAGAATTTTAAATGCTTTTTAAAGATAGCAAACTTCAAAGAATTTCCCATTTGCCATACACTATAGCAGTTTACTCTCACCAGATCCAGGATCTTCGGCCATAGGAGACACTTCAGGGAGAAAAAAACTGACAAAGACTGACCTAATTAAAGTATTATGTTTAAGCAGAGAACTATAAAATGGGGATTCTATTACATAAAGTGCCAATTTATTAGTATAGTTGTCATTTCTGTTTTCTTTAGTGGTTCTTCTGTCCCCTAAATTGCATATTCAAGCTTCAGTCCTTTATAAAATCAGCTTTTACCATCCCATGCCTATTGCAGAACCAGTAAATTCTCAGATCTACATTACTAATCATTAAGCCCCACCAATCACCTAATCACCCAATCAGTCTTACAGATTTCACCTTTTCCAAATGCCTACTGGACCTTTAAATACCTCAATTTGAGTTGAATTTCTCTAAAATACACTATTTTCCTCCAAAATATTAACTTATTTTTGCCAACGTAATGTTTCTTCTATTTAATAGTTTGCCATCATCTCTTCTCATTCCCTTCCTATCACTCCATTCTCAGTATTTCTCTACTGCTTCTGACTTTTCTTTCCACCAATTACCAACCCTTCTTTACCTCATGGCCCAAGTCATTGTAGATTACTTCATGGTCTGATCTCTCTAAACTGCCTTCCTTCTAATCATTCTTCAAAATAATCCACTAAGGTTACCTATGAAATCAATTACTCTGCTGCTCAAGAGTTTCTCAAGTTCTTTGTTGCTGACAAAATACAGTTCAGCATGCCAGTCCAATTTCAAAGTCCTCCAATATTAGGTTCCAGTTATCCTTTCTAATTAACTATTACTGTTTCACACTCCAAGCAAATTGACCTATTCACTTTTCCCTAAAAATTTTATTTGTATACTGTTATCTGTATTCTTGTTCCTCTATACTTTCAAATACACCTGTTTTCTGGGCCTAACTAAAGAATATCTACCTTTAAGAATATTACTGAAGAGCATGACACTACATGAGGTTAAAGGTAGGTGAGGAAGGACTACACAGGAACCTGGAAGATATACAAACCCACTGAATGACTTTAAGCAGAGGAGTGGCAGCATCTAATTTATATATATTTTAGAGCCCTCTCTAAGTGCTGCATGTAGGAAGGCAAAATGGATAGAGACCAATTAGGTGACTATTGCAATCATATTAAAAGACCCTTTTTCAGAAAAGGCTGCTAAAGGAAGAGTGGCAAAGGAATAGAGTTGAGATGGGTAGACAGAAGGAAGAGTTCTAATTTGATAATGTTGAGTTTAAGATGTGTCTCAGACATGGACAAGGAGGTATCAAGTAGGCAGTTGGACAGGGAAAAGACAAATTTGGGAGTCATCACCATATAAATGTCTTTAAAGCCATGGAATTAACTGAGATCATTAAGGAATAATACAACAGAGAGGAAACAACCCAGGAATAACATTTAACATTTAGGGCTGGAGAGAGAAGTCAGGCAAAAGAGAATGAAAAATTAGTGATAGACAAAAGCCAAGAGAAAAAAATGTATCCAGGAAGGATTAGCTGTTTGTGTTATGAATGCTGTTGATTGCACAAAAACTGCCAGTCTTCCTAGCAAGAGCAACTTCGTGCAACTCAAGTTCAGTTGGAGTGAGTTGAAAAGAAAATGAAAAGCAAGGAAATGAGACAATGGATCATCAACTCTTTGAAGAGTACTCATGTGAAAGGGAAGAAATGAGATATTATGTGGAGAGGGTCATAGGGTCAAAGGGAGGTTTTGTTACTTAAATCTATTTGTGCATGGACTAAAAAAACAAAAACAGAGGAAAAATTTGGTGACCAAGAGAAAAGTGTTAATTGAGCCTTCCCTTATCAGTTAAGAACAAAGTAAACTCATCCTCCTGTGAGTTTATTGTTCCTCTTTTCTCCATGTCACAGTCTGTGATCTTGTTTGTAGCCAGTGTTAAGAATTTACTCTTTCAACAGCTGTATCACTTCCTAGCTGTGTGAACCTAGACAAGTTACTTCTCTAACCTCAGTCTAGTCATCTCTAAAACAGGGGGTAATAAAACCTATCTTATGAATACATAAAGTATGTAAAGCACTTAGCAAATAGTAGGCAATCATTAAATGGAAGCATTTTCATGTGCCTTTTCTCCTCAGATAGAAAAAAGGTAATTAAGGGCAAAACCTTTCAAATTCACTCTAGCAGGAATTTATATAATAATCATCATTCCATTCCACTAAATTTTAAAGATCAATTTTTAAAAGAGTGAATTACCTCCATAGTTAATGCTAGACTCTGGTGTGTTGGAGATATCAAGGAGTGACCCTATAGAAAGGGAATGTTCAGCTGACGGGCGCTTACGGGGAGGGAAAGGTGACATGTCTGTCTCTCTTGAAAGCTGAGCAAGTGTCTCTTTTAAACGACGTCTTTTGCGATTGCTGTTTGGGGTATTTAGAGAAAGCAGTGACACTGATTTCTTGAGCTCAGGAGTGTTAGCCTGCAATCAAAAGCACAAAAGCTCAATTTTACTTCCATGGTTCTTTACTGAGACAGGAACAAAAGAAAAATACATTACGGATCTGACAAAATCTGGGTTTTGCACAATAATTTTACAGCTATATACTCTGCCAGGTAATTCAGAAGCTTCATAAAACTTAATAGTCAAGGGACCACTGTAATTGTCTAACCCCTAACATCTCATTCTTTTTCTTCACAGCACTATCACCATTACATATTCATCTGTAAGCTTGTTTACTGCCTATTCCCCTGTTAGGCCATAAACTCCAGGAGGGCAGGGACATTCATATTTTGTTCACAGTATCCCTAGCATTTAGCATACTGCCTGTACATACTGCTCTCCAGTATTTGTTGAATACCACTTGATTTTCAGAGCTCTCTCCCAAAATCTAAGGCATATTTTTTAAACATTATGTTAAGAAACTTACATTGAGAACAGAAAAGCACAACACCTATTTAGATTTTAGAGCACAATAAATCCACACCTCATGTTCAATATTCCATTCAAATTCAAGCCCAAACTGAAGTAAATCTTTCCTTAAAGCCTGATTCTATTATCTCTATGCCACATTTTGGTGAATGATACCCCTCTTCACCAAATCCAGCATGAAGGTTGCATTTTCCTTGCCTATATTCTACTACCAGAGTCATTTTTTAAATGACATCTCTTTTAATATTCTTCAATGGCTCCTAATACTTACAGGATAAAACCCAAACTCTCTAACATATGAGAAACTGTTGATCTGCCCACCTACCTCAAGTGAGCTTTACCTGTTGGCATTCTTTCCCATATGCTTCTCTAAAGCTGTATCAAACTACTTGCTGTTTCAATGTACTTTCATATTCTTTCCTGCCTGTCTAACCTGAATGTCCTTACCAGATTAGCCCACTAAATTGGCTCAACATATATTTGCTCTTTTCAATCCTGCCTGAGTCTCACAGAGTGAAACTAGTTAGAATATTTTACTCAGTTATAGCACACACCATTTTACACTATAACTGTGCATCTGTCTTTCGGTTAAGGTTCTAAGTTTCTGAAGATAGGAATGTTACTGTTCATAATGGTATCACCAAGAATTAGCACAGAATGACACAGTAGATTAAAATAATATGCATTGCATTGAATAGTTTCCCTTAAATCTACATAGACTATTACTCAATATCCAGTTGTTTGTTTATTCTGAAACTCCTAAACATGGTATAAAAGATGATCTGTATGCTAAAACCATGCTCTTTCTAGATAGAAAAGTGTTATCTTTGTACAATTGAGTTTACAGAATAAATAAGAGACAAAAAAGCTACCTTTTCATATAAATACATAGTTTCTCCAGCTCGGGCATCCATTTGAATGCTTCCCCAGAACCACTAAGTGAGAGAAAGAACATTTTAATTAAGAATTTTCCTTAACAGAAAAACTACTAGTAGTTACTTTTTTAAAAATCAATCTTTCTAGAATTACTTACTTCTTGCTTGACAACATATAGTTTCTTTGAAGGCTCAAATGGAAGTTCTTTTACTATATTCTCTTCAACTATAAGGTGAGTGCATCTTTCATCTCCAACAGGTAAATAGTTACCTCCTAAAAGGAATGCATACAAACATAAATAAGTCAAACTACTTATAGCCAAATCCAAAATTTTAAGGAAGCATATTCATTAGGAGTGACTAAGCAGGAGTGGGAAGTAAAATATAACTTGTACATTATGCCAAATTCTACCTTGCATTTCAGTCATTTCCTCCATATTGGTTTTCTCTTCATCTGAAAATCCCAGGAAACTTAAAATGCAATCTTGAAACGGAGGAACTTTAAATTCATTTCTAAAGTCATCAACTGATGCACAGAAATCCCTAAAAAAAAAAGTATATTCTTTTAAAATCAGCTTTATTTAAACTCCATAAATTAGGTATATCAATTTATAAATCTCCAGTAATTCTCAAGGTTTAAGCACAATTCACTTGTTGAAAATATTTTACATTTATGTTTACAAAACCTTCAGTTAAAAAAAGAAAAACTGATGGATCTCATCTCCCCAGAAATAATCTGACAAAATTTGATCACATATAATCCTAACAAATTTTAATTCCTGCTCTGTATAAGAAGTTTTATATGTATTCCAGGGATTCTATAATTTCATGAAATCTTAAGTAATGATGAAGTACAATAGCAAGGAATTACGAGGTTGGAAAATTTAACATGGTTATAAATTACAATCACTACTTAACATGTAGACAAACATAAGAAAAAGTAAAATAATCCAAACATCCAAATCCATTAGGCATTAACAGAAAATGTTAATTATTTTCTAATAATTTTAGAGAGTTTATGAAAAAATTTCACAAAGTAAAAAGACAACACAGGTATCTTTCACTTTTCATTTTTTTATAATTTTTTAAATAATTTTGCCTCACCTACACTTCATCCCCTTGGCTACCCGAAGACTGAATTCATTACTATCTATAAATACTATCTATAAATTTTGGGTTTTTTACTCTTTAGCTTTATAGTTTGTTTATTAATTTGAATAATGAATTACTGAATTGTTAAATACTTACTGTTCATTCCGCCTTTCCCAAGCTTTATAAATCCATTCTGGCTTCATAATTGGAGTACCCAGGCTCACAGCGATCTACAAATATGAACATTAATTTTGATGAATTTTTGCCTTAAATAACTGCATTCTTGGAAGTTCTAACAATTACACAGCACTTATTTGCAGTTTTAGATGATTGTTCATCTACTTTGTAACAAAATATAAAGAAAAATTAACAGAAAAGGCTATTTTTCAATCATGTAACTTAAGTTAAAATAACTTTAAAACAAGTTCCATGATGTTCAAACTGTTTTCTTATTTTATTTTAAATAAATATCTGATGTTAAGTTCATCTTTATTGCATTTCTATTTCCTTAGAAGCACTGACACCCCCCTCCCCACAAGATAGCACTACAGAACATCTGTTTAATTCACTAAAAACTTCAATATGAATTGGGAAGCATATCTAACAGGAATTCAACATTACTCTAAAATTACCATTTGCTACATAAATACCAATTGAATATGGGAACAGAATGATAACCTCTTCCTAAAATATTTAAAGTGAAGTCTTAAACTAAAATTTTAATCCTGATAAGAATACTTTCTCCCATTCTTTCACAATTTTCACAAGTTAAATCTTAGGACCATTTTATAAGACCATATTTCTGTTCTTAAAAACCAGTAAGAGTGAAGTCTGCTCTAATCACTTCCTGATCCCCTCATTCACCAATGTTCATAGTAATCTTTGCTAATGTTATCCATCTACTAACCTCCACAATGCCTGTCTTTCAAGACATAACTCAAGTCCCCTTACCTCCTTAGAACTTAGGGGACCACTCCTGATTTAAAATTTTTACTAAATATACACATAGCAAAAATTAAATTGCTAATTCTTAGCATACTATGCAGTGCTATTATTAAATCCATCCCAAAAGAATGCTATATTGAAATACACAGAAATACCCAAGTTTACATACCCTGAATTTTTCTCCTTGTGTACAATTTGCCACCAAATGTGTAACTTTTGAATTAAAGTCTTTTCGAATAACTCCACCCATGTGATGGGCCAATGTCACCAATCTGACCTCAAAAGAAAAATTATGCAACATTGACTTTATGATTAATTTGAACAGAATTTTAAATTTTCAATTTCTTCACCATTTACTGAATAATTTTTATTTATAAGGTACAAGCAATTTTTAGAAAAATTTAACTTTTGTCAAAAAATTAACATTTTGCCAAAGAATCATTTGCCTTATTGGCAGAGGCAAAATTATACAGAGGTAAGCTAGTAGAGATGATCACACAAAACTGTTAAACAACCAGTTTTCACACAGCCTAAATGACACAGGTTTTATCACATCAAGATTCTTCCCACATAATTAAAAGTAATACTCCATTAGCTCCAACACAGAAATTTTTATGAATCAAAGAAAGAAGGTTCTATGAATTCTCTAAAGCAATGAGATTATTTTCAGGCTTGCCTTGTATAACAAAAATTGCAATATGCAAATAAAAACTTTAAATAATGTGGCTAATATGATAGTTATATCAAAGATCATTTAAACAGAAATGACAGTCATGAAATTTTTTTGTTAATTCACATGCCCGCCATCCTAGACAAAATATCTATTTCTTTACAATGCTTTTCAGAATGCTTCTTCACAAAATTTAAAACTTGGTACATTCACAGTACTTTATCTTTCAATAATTTCAATAAAACCACGCTATAACTACAAGAAAAAATGCAAATTTAAATTTATTTGGCTGGAAAAAATATTCTCTGAACAGACTGTTTCAAAATACTTACTAGTTCTTCTTTCTTCCTGAATCCAGTAAAGCACAGTACTAGATTCATCATGCTTGTACAATAGAGTGGGCGACATGAAAATGGCAAAGGCTGAAGAATATAACAATTTTAAATCTGTAAGCTTTCTTTACAGTAGAAAACAGAACACATCTTTCTCAAGCTAAACATACTCCCCCTTTCCAATCAACTTTCCCAATCCAAAGATTTACTTGCATTTAGCAATATGCAAAATAAAAAAAACCAAAAGCTGGAATACAAGTTTCACAATAAAAACATGCATCATGACTTCCAAATCACATTTGTTACATATAATCTGAACACAATTTACTAGTGGAAAAATTAAACATTTATATGTAAACCTTTAGTCCCAAAATATATTGACACATATCAACTGTTGTCTTTAAGGACAGACTCAGACACCATACACTATTATAAATGCTTTCAATTAAAGTTAAAACAGGTTAAAGATATTTTGTAATAAACACTAGGTAAGTAACACCTATATGTGAACCAAATATGATTCTAATTTTTGAGCTAAAAATGGACATAGTAAATAATTTAACCAATGGTTATATACCAGAGAGAGAATGGTTTAAAAAAATACATATAGGTACATATTTAATTCCCACCATTAAGCAAGAAGATTCTTTTTATAATTCTTGTCTTTAAAAAGTTAATTTGGTTTTTGAAAGCAACACCTCTGAATCGAAACAGAGAAGTAATAATTATCATCTATTATTACTAGTATCTGTAACAAACAAAGCACAATGAATGAACTAAGCAATTTTAAGTTAATATGGCAAGCTTAAGAATGGCAAAACAGAACAATAAAACCAAAATAGGGACTAACTCTACTACAACTCCTATATTGAAATGCTATTTAAAAACAAAAAGCTAAAATAATTCCTGTAATTTTAAATCATGCAGTAATTGATAAAAATGGAAATGTGGTCTCTATCCTATGTGGAGCAAAATAAAAATTTATGTATGTGTGTACATTTCTGAAACCCAAATTTAAGCAAATTATTTCTTCCCAAAACACTGCAGGTATTGAGAAAGATACATATATGTGTGTGCGTGTATATACATGTGTATATATATATATATACACACACACATACATAGACACCTACATGAATGTATAGTTTCTATTGTTTAACTTTCAAAAGTCTTAGACTAAATACTTCATAGACTCAACAATGAATTTTTTGCTTATGAATTTTCACAAAATTCATGAGTTAAAAACTTAATCTTGAAAAATCATAACAAACATATTCTCTTACCTCTCCTTTTTGTGCACAATTTAATACAACTGGTGGTCCAATAACTCTACAGTCAGTCTTGTGTAACTCATTAAAGATGGAATCCTGGAAGTCCATGACTATGAATACATTTTCAAATGCTGCAGAATCCAAACTTTCAAATTCTTCAACTGATTCCATCTTTACAAAGGGCACTTTAATTTCCTGGATTTTTTTCATGTAGTTATTAGAAATAAAAATTACATATTATAAAATTCACTCTCTCTAAATAAGACCTAAAAATAAATTCAATATCAAAAATTTTGCTTTTACATTTGTAACAAATTTTAAATCATATAATGACTGCTGGACTTAATAGTGAACAGCGTTATTTGTTTACTTATTTATATTTTTATATATATTTATCTCCATCCACATTAAGATCTTAAATTTTGAAGATTAATATTATAAAGACAACTTCTGACACAACTTAGTAGTCATTATAAATCATCTTATGGACATTTAAATAAGAATGATGAATTTAAGCACATACATATTGATAGTACAATGCATAAGATACCCACCATTGCTTTTTATTCTGACCAAGAAAATCATGCCATACATATAGCTCTTCCTGCACAAATTGTCTTCAGAAAAATAGAAATACTATGGTACTTAACATCTATAAAAAGGATGTAAATTAACTTAATCATTTCAGTATATATGAAGGAAATAAAGAGAAAGGTGTGAAATATGTAGGCAGTTGCCACATGGCAAAGGTAAGATATAAAAAGACAAGTTACCACTTAACAATTTATACTGTATATCTATGCCAAAGAATGAAGATATTTAAGTAGCTGTATGACTCCTCTGTAAAAAGAACAAAACCATTTAAAAGAAAATTCTGAACAGGTCAGTAAATTATTTGGGCTTTATTTGCTAGGCTCATGGGGTAGGCTGAATTATGCAGCCTCAAAATTCATGATGAAGCCCTACCTTCCTGTACCTCAGAATGTGATTATATTTGGAGATAGGGCCTTTTAAGAGATACTTAAGGTTAAATGAGGTCATATGGGTGGGCCCTAATGCAATCTGGGGGGTGTCCTTTTGGGAGGAAATCTGGACAAAGAGAAGAGATACGATCTTTCGTGGCATGTGCACCCACAAAAGAAGGGCCTTGTGAAAACACAGCAAGAAAGCAGTCACCATCTGCAAGTCAAGGAGAGAGGCCTCAAGAGAAACCAACTCTGCCAACACTTTGATTTTGGACTTCTGACTCCCAGAACTGTGAAAAAATACATTTCCATTGTTTGAGCCACCCAGTCTGCGGTAAATTTTAATAGTAGTCCTAGCAAACTAATATAGCTGGCATAGAGAATTAGATATATCTCATATGCTAAGGCAAATTCCCAAATGACTGTCAATTATCTGATTTATAATTCTGGAAATAAAACAAGAATTCAGAATAAATATAAAATTAGTGAGAAAAAAGAAACTAAAGAGTTTAAAGAAAAGTATCAGATCTTTTGTAAATACATGACATGCCATTTAAATTTTAAAATGACAAATTACTTTATAAGAATTTATTACTTTATAAGGATTATTTACAATATCTGGTGTAGTTTGGGGTTTCAGAAACACCCAAATTTTAAAAATAAATATGAAATAGTTCCTATTCATCTAGCTTCAAGAGTGCACAATTATACCCTGTGCCCAAATTAGGTTCAATCACCGTAAGTGGAGTAACAATACAATCAAGGGAAGTGTAGCATGCCACATGCAATGAAATGCTTGACCTACCATATTAACAACACTTTTTATTAACTTTTCATCCGATTTTCCAGGACAACTTTCCTTTAGCTTTATAACAGGGACTTCCATTATTTTAATAGTCTGTGGAAAAGAGACTTAGGTATGAGATTAAGAAAACTATAAAGTTATTTACACACTGATGGAAGAAAACCATTTTTTTTTAAACTCTTAACTCCATACCTTTAAGGCTTTTATAAGTTCTTCTTGTTTTCCAGCTTCTTGAACTAGTATCATTCTCGTTTCAACCTGAGGCATTTCTTCTATTAAAATTAAAAATGTTTAAATATGTTTGTCAGGTACTAACATCAAAATCAATAGTTCCTAATCCCTCTATATCTGGTATGTTTTCCATCTTTGAGGAGATCATAACATTCTCTAAAATAAAAATGACTTGATTCCCAGTTTATATTTTTTAATTTGGCCAACATTTTTTAAAATGTCACTTCAGGAAAAGAGAAATTGTAGCAGAGTATACAAACATCAGCACTCCAAAAAAAGCATTCACAATTTTGCACAGCCATTCTCCTCAACAGTGCATCAACTTTAGGAAAGACCCATTTATACAGTATTAAGGGAAGTGGGCTCTTCACCTAACCAGCCATAACTGAGTAAATTTTAACTAACTATGTTGTAGCTAGATTGCCCCTACTACAGAAAAAGCAGCATCCAACAATAAAATGCCTCCCAGTCAAGTCAAAGCTGGAAAGCATTAATCCAAACAATAGTCAAAAATCTATGTAGTGTAAAGAGATTCTATCAACAAATATTTACTGAAAATCTGTACACCAGCTTAAGAGTTAGTATTACAGTTATGAAATCATAAGAAAGGTCCAAGTCAGTAAATTTAGGATTAAAAAAGCAATTTGGTGTTTTAACGTAGATTAACAGGTTTACCTTCAACATATAAAGTAGACCCAATAAATGAGTTTTCCTTAGAAGGTTCAGTAACTTTAGAATCAAAAATAGAAGAATCTGCCAAGCTTGTCTTCCCAGCAGTGGATTCACTATTGTCAGCCATTGTTTGTACTCTCCTTTTTTTTGTTGGCTGAAAAAATAAAACTTGAATAAAGATACATGAAACAAACATGACTGCTGAGCAAAAACAAGCATTAAAATCTCCATACCTAGAATTTATAAAAAGTATCATTACTCATATTTAATACTGAAGCACAGAAAATCACTTGACTTGCCTGAGCCAGTTTCCTCTTTTGTAAAATAAAGATACCAATACCTGATTCTTAGGAACACAGAAAAAATAACAATGTATTGAAAGTACTCAAAACATTACCTGACATATAATGAGCGCTCAAAAGACAGTCATAAATATTATTCTACCTCCCTTCTTTGTATCTTTGCCCTCAACCAACCTATTTATTTTCCTCTATCCACTTATAATATCACTCATCCCCTAAATAATTGCTTTCAAAAAACTGGTTCCATCTTTACTTTCCTCCACCTCATTAACCCTCCCCAAAATTCCTAGCAATACCATTTCAAGTACTCTGGAACCTGGCCCCTCTACTCTATGCCCAGTGCCACAGTTGCTAAATACAACAGCTCCAAACAACTTTCCCCATCATCAGTTTCTTCAGCAGTCACTCTCCACAAGGTTCTCAGGACTGTATAGTCCTAAAAATAAATGTGACCATATCACTTCCCTGTGAAGAACTTGCATGAGCACTTCTCCCTATATGACCAAGTCTAAAATCACCATCAGGTTTACAATTTGGTCCTAGCCTACCTATTCAGCCTCATCCCCTAGAATTCCCTAAGTCCTTATACACTGTGATTCTCCAGCCACATTGTACTTCTCAGCATTTTTCAAACACAGATCAAAATTTATTCCACACCTACTTACATTTATTAAATGCTCAATTCTCCACCTACCGTATCTTTCAACTTCCAACCCACCAGTCTTGGCTTATTTTCTGTGGATTTCTCTGAATCTCTCATGTATAAAAGGACTGATCCCTTATCTGTATTTTCATATTACTTTGCAAATGTCTTACTTCTTAAAGATTTAACAGCACAATTATGCACAGATTTAGTGCCAATATGACTCTGGACTATGAAAGAAAAACTTGTGTTTTTTTAAGATTCCCAGGACTTAAGAGTTGAAATGTTAGGCAAGCAGGGAATAAAAAGTTAAACAGATTTTAATCAATTAAAATTGGGGTTGTTATGTAAGTTTACTATGTTAAAATAAATGTCCAGAATATTGGGCAAATGTAAGAGGAACCTCCCCCACCGCCCATCTTTACCTGGAGGTACATATCTGATCTATCTTATCCTTTCCTTTGATTCAGATAAATAAAATACACAAATATCTTACACAAATAGATTCTTAGCAAACTAATAGTTTAAGTAAACTGTATGCTGTAGAAAAATAATAAGGTATGATTAGCCTGATTTCTGGATGGTGATACTAAGTAGTGTGAAGATATGCACACTAACAACAGACCTAAGCCCAATTGTTAGGTGCAGGTGCATACTTCAAAGTCAGGAGGTTCAGCTTCCAGTCTCAGCTCTGTACTTAGGTTAGCTTCAGTTTTCACATTGAAGAAAGACATAATACAAATCAAATACAGTTGTGATGAAAACTAAATAGATATCTTAAATTCTCATATAATTTTCACAATGTGGACACTTCTTACACTCTTACTATACATCACTGTCAATCATTATTCTAACATTCTCCAAAGCAGTGCCCCTATAGTTATTAATAAGAGTTTTTATTTAGAATCAAAGATAAATTCCAGCCAGCCCTTATTTGTTGTTTTAAGTCTCACACTTAAGTGATTTCAATGAAAAAAGAATAGGCTATATATGTGCTTTCATTCAAAGTCTCCTTAAAAGAACATTTGTTTTTTAATGTCAAGAGATGAACTAATCTGATTTAAGGAATGGAAGAGGAGGGAGATTTTAATAAATTAAAAATACTATATGAGTTCACATTTTTCTTCTCTGCCTCTCTGCTTAAAGTCTATCAAAACAGGTGACTAAAAGTTGAAGTTATCTCTGATGATACTGTATATGATCAATTTATTGCCAAAACAGCTTCAAAGTTTAGAAATAAAGAGCTGCATTGTAAATTGATGACATAATAGCCAACACTCTGATTAGAAACTAATCACTTTTTTATATTCATGCATTCTGTAAATTTTGAAATGAACACAATAGGATCAGTGTTCATAAATCTATACAGTTTGTTTTTCATCCAAGAACATAATCAAGGAGCTTCTGACTAAACTACAACACATGCTTCTTTTCATTCCAAGGATAAAATGGGTCCTTAAAGCAAATAATTCACTTTAGGTTTACTTTTTACTTATTTTTCTAGGCAATCATCTGTCAAGAAGGAGGAGCTAAAAAATGCAACATTGGGTATGTTGGTGATTTTACTGACAGTAACACTGCTCACATTACATAACATTACAGCTAACAAATAACATTTATTTAACGCTTAATATATGGCAAACATAGTTCTAAACCTTTTACTTTTTAAAAAGCCTGGAACAGAGAGGTTAAGTAACTTCCCCTAAATCACAATGTTAGTGGTAATCAGGGATTCAAACCCGGTCTGATTTCCAGAGGTTAAGCTTTTAACCACTAAGCCATATGTTTCTGTATCAGGGAGGATGGTGTCGGGGCGGAATAGGCTGGCATTTTTAAAAACTTCCCACAGAAAAGAAGCCAAGAATCCTCGAGTGAAACCACTAAGCACTCTGAGATAAGCCCCCAAAGGCTGCAAGCTGCCAGCGCCCCGAGCCGCAGCGGTTTTATCAAGACACCTTCCCAGCTCCCTGCCTTCACCCGGACACTCTTCCGGGAAAACTCTCTAACCAGGTGGGCGGTGAGGAAGCCCAGCCACCTGCGGACCTCGGGCCCTACGCCGCGTCACGGCCTCGCTGCGGGCAGTGCGGTGGAGAGTACCCGGAGCCGGGAAGCCTGCGCCGGGCGCTCCGGAATTCGCGGTCACCGGGGCGCGGCTGTCGGATCCCAGCACAGCGCCCACGGCTCCGGGGACGCTGGCCCTTTCCCACCTCCCCTACCCACACCCAGAGTCCTCACCACTCTCAGAAAACGCCCTGGAAGTTCCACCTCTTCAGGCGCCCGGTCCTCTCACCGTTACCGCCATTCCTCGCAGCGCAGCAAAAACCAATTCAAAAAAGTGAACCATTCTCTCTAAAAGCCATGGCGATTGGCGCGTGATGTCAACCTCCTTCCTATAGGCTGGAGTCTCCAGAGGGACAGTGATTGGTCGCCGCTCTTCTCCCGCCTCCCCTACGCCTCCGAGCGATTGGGTTGAGCGTGTGTTTCAAATAAACGGCTCGGACGTCGGAAGGTCAAGAGTGTTTAGAGTGCCCGGATGCACCTAGGAGGCGGCGGGTCTGGCTGCCGGGCTTCCCTGAGGGCGTAGAACGTGTGTTTGTGGCTACCGCTGGTTTACTCACCAAACATCCGTTTTCTGAGGAAAGTTGAATGGGTTTTCTCTGCCAACTTTTTTTTTTAAGCGTCACAAAATCCTTAATCAGTGTCTCCACAGGTGAATTTTTCCCGGCTGGTTGCTGGGAGTTCTAAGATCTTCCTGCCTGTATACTTTCTGCATCAGGGATGTTACTGAGAGTTGAGCTAAGGGGTTTTGACTTTGGTGTGTTGACTTGGCTTGGACCAGAGACACAACTCGGGGGCCCTCCAGGTGTACTTCAAATCTGTAGCCACTTAATTAAATCCTGATGTATGTAAAGCACTCACTGTGCTCTGATCTAAGGAAGTTAACGGGTGATTGGAATAAATTCTTAGTGTTTCTCGGAGTTTTAAAATACAACACTGTGCTCTGATCTAAGGAAGTTAACGGGTGATTGGAATAAATTCTTAGTGTTTCTCGGAGTTTTAAAATACAAACTTAGTTTGAACATATGAAAAAAAACCTAGGAGGTTCTAGAATTTCCTGGAGCCTAAGTAAATTGCTTCCTGCTGCCGCCTCCCACCACCGCTAGATCTCTTGTTACTTTCCTCTAAAATCTAACACCCAGAATGTATCATTTCTCCTGTAATTAACTATTCTTGTTATGTAAAACAATCTATTCAATTTCTAACTATAACACACAGTCTCAAGAAAAATACACCTCCCCCAGATAGGTATTGCGTAGTTCCCACCTAATTGTGATTAAAGGAAGAAAGGGAACCCGTTGCTAAAACCTTAAACCCAGTAAGAAGACGAAAACGTACACTTTGAAACAAAGCACTTAAAACATCTCAAACCGATCGTGGGAGTTTACATAGTTTTTTCCTAATTTTGTCAGGCCACGTTAGACATGGAAAGTTTGTAATGCAATCCATAAAATGATTGAAACAGTCTGCTAATCACCGGTTTCCCTGTTGATGAAAGAATATTTGCAGTCTGCCCTTCAGTAGAATGCCCTGCTAACCGTTAAGGCAAAAGAAGAAAAAACAGTATTGAAATTTCACTTTGGAATGTGCTTATTACATAGTTAAACTAGGGCGTGCCCAGCATTCCAAAAGTTCTCATCACTGGAAATATATTATGCTAGCGAGGAAAGCGGCATATTTTCCCTGTGCACTGCCCCCTGTTATACAAGCCTTGCACCCAACTCTAGTGATCAGCTATACGGTATCACGGCACGAATTGTTTGCTAGCATAACAAAAGCTATGCTTGATTTCTTTGCAGGGATATAAGGCAGTTTGACTAGCAAACAGGCACTACGATCTGTTTCCGTTTCATAACCATGCAACCTCCTTTTCCATTTCCTAGCCATGTTAACTCAAGCAAGACATTTAACCTCTCTTTGCCTCAGTTTGTCCTTCTATAAAAGGGTACATAGTGCTTACTTTATAGTGTCGTTAGGACTCATAGAGCTAATAGATATATAATTAAAACATATTCTAGCATATAGTAAACATTTAATAGATGTTAGCTGTTAATACTGCTCCTACTTTTGCTATTAGTTATTTCAGCTGAGGCCCTGTAATTACCTAATAGGACTGGTGGTTCTGTACACTGACTTCTCACTCCTGATCACAGGAGCAATGGCACCTATGCTTCTGTTCTCTGCCCTGCCATACACCTGCTTGATGCAGGGAAGACCTCCACTGCTTTCTTTTCCTACCAGCGGGAGAACATTCCTTCTTCTGCACCAAAACCTAATCTCCTTCTCTTAAGGGAAACCATGCTGTGCTCAGGGCCCTGTTGCTGCTGCCCTTAGCCAGGCCTCTGTCCTCTTCCAAGGCAGGTCCTAGCTAAGATTCTTTATGTTAAATGTTAGACTCCTCCTCCAGTGCCTTCAGTGGGAATATAATTATTAAATTCAAATGTCAAGGGGACAAAACTCTTCAAAGTTTGAAGGGGGAAGATAGATCAAATGAAAAGTTCCTTGAAACAATAAACCATCAAAAAATTCTTAAGCACCATCCACAGCTCCTAAGATGCTGAATGAACAGATTTCAGACACAAAATGCTAAAGGAATTGAACTGAATTTAAGTACTTAATATACTAAAGTGTGTGACCTATTTTCTCCAAACAATAAAAGAATTTCTGAGGTCGGGAAAATGAAATGTGGAAGACAGAACCGCTGAGATTCTCCCTTTAGAGTATCTACTTCCCCACCTCCATCTCCAAATGGGGTGACCCTCTGGACCATCTTTCCTGCCTCCCATCACACGCTTGTCCCTCCTCGTTTATTTTTCCTCTTTATTCATATTTCCCTTTTTTCCTTTCCCCCCTTGCCCCTCCATCTCCATCGTTGTTTTTTTTTTTTTTTCATCTACACTCCTTCAGGGCAGCAGAGAATGAGGAGTTACGAAAGTTAGTTTGGGGTTATGGAATATCTTTCTCTACCCTATGTCCACCCTCATCCACAAATATGCACACTTCCCATGCAATCATTCTTCAAATGCGGAGTGAACAAGATTTCTCCCACCTTTGTGGTTTGTAGTTTGCACTCTACTAATAACTAGTATATCTAAAAAAAAAAACTAGTAAATTTGTTGCAATAAATGGGCAACATTTGTTGTAGTGGACTTTCATTTTATTACCTAAAGTTGTGATTGAGTATATTACAATTTTTAGACACTATTTTAAAATGTGAAATGTTATCAACCAATAATAGTATTTTTTAATACATTTAAATGTTTTATAGTAGGATTGTGTTTTACCGTAACTAAATATTAACACTGTAATGTCATGTAGATCTCATGTAATTGCTTTTTCTCCTTCTACCACCATCCTTACCCCATCAAAGCATTTACGAAGAAAATAGCTACATATAATGCCATACTAGGTACAGATACAAAGATTCAGTCTTTCTAAGAAGTTACCACTTAAGATTTTTATTTCAAAAATTTTTTTAAATAGCAGTGAAATTCTGTTCATTCTTGGAATTATTGAACATTTCTAACTAAAACACCATATTACCAAGTTCGTTATAATACAACATCTTCTAACCTGTCAGCTCTGCATTAAAACAAGCTTTAGAAATTATAGTCACTCTGAGCCAGAAGAAGCTTTTGCACACCTCAATAGTTAGTAATTAGGATATGAATCGTTGCTTTATTCATTAGACTATAAATCACTTGACATAGATTTGCAAGACTGTACAAATTTAGCACTTAAAAGTTTCACTTGGACAAATAGAATTAGCTTTCCTTGATGGAACAAGAGGTTTCCAAATATGATGAGGATATTACTTCAAATTATGTAATTTGATTAGTAAAATTTTAGATGCAGAAAAAAATCTCAGCTCATTAGTCCCATTCTTTATTTTACACATGAATTTTACCAAGGCCAGCAGCATAGAGGTTATATTCCTTTACCAAGGTCAAGCAACTAGTTAGTGACAAAACCAAGATTGCATTTCCATTCATCTTTTTCCATTAATCTATTCTTCTTATTAAAGATACTAATATTATATTTTATATTATACTTACAAAAATACTAATATCTTTATTCATAATATTTACATTTTTTACCTTTGAAAGCATTAAGATGCTTTCAGTTCCGTAAAAGTCTTGTTCACCTATGTATCTCCAGCATCTGGCACATAGTACCTTCTCAGAATTTGTTGCATGAATAGCATTGTAACTGATCTCCAATAATCCATATTTCCCTCTTCTAAACCATCCTCCAGTCTGCATTCAGAATGACAGTATGCAAATCTAAACCATCATATCACCACCTTTTTAAAACACTTCAATCGTACTAGACCTCCATGGTCTGACCTCTAACTGCATTGTCAGCTTTCTTTACACCATGTTACCTTTCTTTCTCTTGAATTCTATACCTGCCTTCCTTCTCATGCATTTTTGCACTTGCTCTTCTGTGATCTCCACTCTTTTAACCTAGAGTAGGCAACTTCTCTTCCTTCAGCAACTGCTCACATACCACTGCTGGGAAGGTCTTTTCTAACTACCTACACTTTCAAAACCCCCATTTACAACCTCCGCACCATGAGTATCTCTTTTGTGCTACTTAGCAAAGATATGACCAATATTTATCAAAGATTGGATTAATATGTGTTTCCTCCACTATCTGAGCTACTTGAAAGTTGGGAAAATGAATTTTTGTTCACCATTTTACCCATAATGACTAGCATGTAAAAGGCACTCAAATATTTGTTGAAATAACAAGTGGATGAATGAACGAATGAATGAATGAATTTTTATTGTAACATCAGTATTTTTCCAAAGATACTAAAGAAAGTTTCTATTATATTTTTATCTGACCCATTATTTATGACAATTTTTTAGGACAAATTAAGTGGCACATTTCTAAAATTTATGAGTTTATATCAAGGATAAAATAATGCTCATCTTTAATTGACATTTGAGTCAATTACCAAGAATCAAATAACTTTTGTACCACAGCTAGTTCAGCCATGAGTGGAAGAGAGTGCTAATGGTACTACACTGATTCAAGTTAAGACTTGACAGTGGCTAAGAACATAGATAATTATCTATATTAAAACTTCAATTTTCCTACAACCTACACTTTCATACATTATTCACATGGGCAGCTATGCCTCTTCCACACCTCTGACATTAACATCCGAGGTATCCCAAAGTGATATTGTCTGCCAGGTTCTTTTTTGACAGCAACTCCTCCTTTGTAGAGCAGTATTTGCTACAATAATTTGAATGCTTTGATTGTACTTAGCAATAGTTTTATTG